ATCTTCTCGTTTTTAGAATTGAATCACCTTTGAACCATTGATCGATGAGCATCATGATTGTACTTCCTTGATAAGCGCTGTGCTTGAGGACAACACCGTCGCGCTCTGATTTGATCCGAGCACCTGACTGAATTGGGTTTTAGATATTTCCATGTGTCTGTCTCTCATCACCGCCCTCGTACAAACAAGCTGATCGGATTGCAAAGGAAAAAGAAAAAAAAAAAAAGAATAAAAAGGAAAGCGCAAAGATGCCAAGCCAGGCTTCAAATGCCGCAACGCCCTGCAATTTCGAGGTCTGAAAAAAGTTTTCAGCCACCACAACCAAAAAAATGATTGAGATGATGGAAGAACATCCTCGTCGAGCAAAAGAAGATGTGATGGTCAGTACGGGGGTCGAACCCGCGACCTTGGCGTGCCGTATATCATGGAGGATATTAGCACCACGCTCTAACCAACTGAGCTAACCGACCTGTTCATGTTGGCCGAGTTCACCCAGTTGGTATAGCATGATCATGCAAAAGCTCGTCAGGAGCCGATGGCGGTCGGAAATGGCGCCGAAGGGTCCGCGGCAAGTGAACACCTGAGCTGGATGACATCCATTATGCACGGTCCTGTGATATTCGAGCATCATGGCCTGGATCGAATGCTTGCTGTCATCTAGTGGAGCTATCGGGCTGCGTCTCTCCATGGGTGCTTGACTCATCTCATTGTTGTAAGATATGGTGAGGCTTCAGCTCCTTGCTAAGGAGGGGATCCGGGTTGTGGCTAGATGCAAGCTGTCCAGACTGGTTCAGGTAAGTTCGGTCATTTTTGGCGTGCTGTTGGTGTCTAGGTCAATGTCAGGCAACTTTCCAATAAAGCCTGCTGGAAGGTAATCGATTCCCAGGAAGCGGACCCAGAAACTGAATCTCAGGATGTTGATCAGTCTGACTCCAGCACGAATAAGGCAGAATCTAAACAGAGAATGTGCTCGAGTGCCAGGTGAATTGCGTACGACACTGAGACAAGAAAGGTTGCTTTGCGCAAGCTCAATTGCCATTGTTTTACGTGCCTATGCGTCTGGGTCGTTAACAAGTCTGCAATAGAGGGCCACATATGAGAGTGCTTTAAATTGTTACAGAACCCAGAAATCAAGGAAGAATAGAGTTGAGTTCGGAATCTTAGGCTTTCGGGGAGGAGCGAGGGCAGACATGGAGACGGACCTGTTGCGGAGGCTGCAGACAAGGAAACTTTCACGCTTGGATCGCAATTCTGAACCAGACTGCGTAACCACTGATGAGGTCGCGCTATCCGGGTGAGGCCAAAATGGAGGTAGTCGCCATCGATCCATCACATCAACTACGCAGTCACAGTGAATTAAGAACAAACCCTAAAATTAAGGGTGAAAACAGGACATTTGCAACAACTAAGGTAGATACATTAACTGATGTGTACTATGTTCAATCATTTACGAGACGTGGCATTCCACTTGCTGTAGCCGATGATTTGACGCGCATGACCATAAATTCCTGTTATATGAGTTAGACAAAGTTGTGGCATTTGTTATAAGAGAACGTACCCATAGTCGCCATCAAGATCAGATAAGGCGTATAGATAATCGAAAACATTATCATCATCCACATAGTCGTGAACTCTGATCGAGCCATTTGTGTGATTGCAAGTGTGAACATAAGACAAATAATGCTGTTAGATAAGATTAGCACTGTAATCGGAGTCATCGTGGATGTAAACTTACGTCGCGAAGAAGAACCACTCAGCCATCGGATAGCGGAAGAAGATCAGCTTCACAAGTTCTGTTGGGTTCTTTGGCCAGTCCGTGATGATGAACGACAACAGCAAGCATGTATGCTGGGTGACCAGGTAGTAACTGATCTCTCGAACGAAGAGAAGGGACAAAACTCCGAAACGCTCACTGATGGTACGCTTGCCACCAGGTGGATTGTTCCAGATAAGAGGCATATGTCTGATACTGGCCTGAGTCCAGCCTTGAGCCCATCTCATGCGTTGTTTCCAGAACGCAGCAAAATTAGTGGGAGCCATCTCATAGGAAAGGACGTTCATGTCGTGCACCGCCTTCTTGCCCTCACCATATGCACGAAGCGCGGAGTCAATGTCTTCGCACAGCATGTGTCCGTGCATCTGATGTCCCTTGAGTAGATCAGCTTTCCAGTAGCCATTGCTGCCGCAGAAGAGACCTGGTAAGGCAAAAGTCAGCACGTATGTTCTTCGTCCGATGTAAGAGGATCCTGTATTGTGTACCAAAGTTGAACAAGCGACTGCGGCCGGGATGAGACACTGCATAGATCTTGTCGAACTCAATCGCGATCATCTTGGTGAAGAACGTTTCGCCCGTATTGTAGACAACACAACGACCTTGGACAATATCCACCGAAGAGTCCTTCACGAACCGCTCAGCGGCCCAACGAGGGTTGTAAGGATGCGGGAAGTGATCACAATCGAAGATCGCAATGATGTCAGCACCTGTGTTGAACTTGAAGAAATAGTTGAGGTTATCGGCCTTCGATTTGGAGCCGGGGACGTTGGTGACAGTGAGTTGTGGATACTGCTTCTCCATTTCTGCCAACTCGGACTGGAGGGGCTCGATTGGCTTTGGTGTATTGTACACTGCATGTAATCATTTAGCTTATGTTCTAGAGGCTCAAGCCAAAAGTTCCTACCAAGGTTGACTCTCAGCTTGCTTCGAGGATAGACCAGCTCATCCAAAGCATAGCACACTTGATCCTTGACTATATCCTGCTCATTAGGAAGATATGCTACGATCACAAGGTCGATTATCGGTAGCTCGTCATCAGGTGTTGGAAACTGGCTGTTGTTCTGATCGACCTCATCTGCGGCCTGTCTGGATTCACGAAGAGGAGAGATGCCAAGGAAAGCTTCAATGACCGTACACATGGCAATATAGAAGTTGACAGCCATGTAAACAAAGTAGAACACCTTGATAGTTCCTTCAGTTGCTGATGTGTATACTGCAGTCGACGCAATATAGTAAGTGGAGACCAACACGAAGGGAGTCCAGTCGAACAACCATGCCGATGCCTGAGCGATGAGACTGCGAATCCCCAGATTCAACCGACGAATTGATGACGATGTGGTCAACTGAGGATTCGGCATCTCGACAGACGTGACACCCATGGCCTTGGACATGTTAAAGGCAAACGAATGGATGGAGGGGGATAGAGGAGCTACTAGATGGATAGAAGAACGAAAGACTCAACGAGTGAGATTCGGGGTATGGAATGAGACGACCAAGGAGGGCGAGATATGCTCAAGTCTCAATCCGTGAGCGTGATATAGCTCTCTTGAGGACTTACGTCTGATTGTGGCGTCTTCTTACTCTAGCACCTCAGGAAAGACTATCTGAGAACATTACCGGACATTGATCTTCGATGCATGTCGTCGCGTACGAGAGTACGACCCGCTCTGCAAATGCCCGAAGCTATCTGCACTGCATTGTAGATCTCCACAAACAAGCATGAGTGTTTGTTGGGAAGCCACGAGCAACTGGCATACCATATTTCGACATGCTAGGGCTGCATGTGGATGGGAGGAGAGGACTGTCGTCGGGATATCCCATTGCCGATGGGAGCCGTGAGACAGCCAAGACGAGGCGTGATTTTAAAAGTAAGGAAGATATTTAGCGCAATCTGACCAATCAGTGCGCCACGATTCCACATTCGTTTCCTATCCCGCAGACCTCGCAGAAACTATATCGCTCTCCCCCAGGATGCACAGCATCACACTTGCTGTCATCTGCAAAGTCCAGATGAATCTCAACGTCCGAGACACTAAGAGATCGATGGCGGGATCCCACAACGGCGGCCTAGGCATGGTGGGTCGTGGCTCGCTGGCGCGCTGCTCATCCATGCTCTAGTGTCCAGGGTATCTGCAGCTATGCGTACCCAAAGAAGACAGGTAGGTGATAGCAGAATAGATATCTTTGGGTGATATCTTTGAACACTCCCGAACTTGATGACAACCAAACGCCTGGATTATACTGCAAAACATGATGACACAGAACAAATTTCTCACTCCTCTCAAGGAGATATTCTCCTCGAAAGCCTCAGCTCTCTCACCTCAGCAGGACCATCTCTATGGTCTTCGCGGAGTACTTGCTATTGAGAGCTTCCTTTGGCTGTTCCTCAAGACCTTTGTCCCAGCCCTTGTCACGAATGAAGTGCCAGGTCCCGAATACCAAGTCATCATTCGCAAGATATTCTCTGTGCTCTTCTGGAATGAGAGCCTTATTTCTTCTTTCTTCATTATACTCTCAGCACGTACTGTTTGCATTACTTTCCTCTCAGAGCCAACTGCCAAAGCATTCGCTCGCTCACTGATCACTCGCCCCCTACGTATTGGTATTCCACTCGCTCTCGCCTTGGCATTTTCGATCTCCATCTTCTCGACCACCAACACAGTATACATCGATGTAGCTGCACAGGCTTTGAAGAATCCAACCCTCACGGCGCCGGTGATGCCGTCTACCGCTTTGGCATCATTCAACACAATCTGGGACGTGCTCTGGGTTGTCCGCGATTTCGGAAGACAAATGGCTAACCGAGCCTTTCCTGGTGCAACGATGTGGGCTCCATCGTTAATATACTCGCAGAGCTACACGGTTTATATCGCCATGGTCATTCTCCCGTTCACTAGGGTTTCTTGGCACATTCAAGCAATTGCGCTCTTCAGCATCGGATCGTTCTGGTTTAACTCCTGGGGATGGTATTCGGCAGCTGGTCTCTTCATCGCCGACGTATCTCAGAACCACGATCTACGCGCTCGTCTGGTTCGAGGCGTCAGAATCAGGGAGAACATCACATTTCCCTATTGGATAATGGCAATGTTCTCTGTCGTCGTAGGCCTCGCCCTGAAATATGTATGGGTAGCTGCATTTCCTCGGCATCTTCGGGACGAGCTGGTCCTGCATCCTAGCATTCAGCTCACTCAAGGCTTGAGCATTCACACCTTCAACGAAGGCCAAGCGTACGCTCGACTGGACGACTATTTGGTCGTGGTCGGTGTCCTGTTCCTTCTTGAGTTGTCAAGTCGAATGAAATCAATTCTCTCATCCAAACCATTGGTCCAACTCGGCAAACGATCACTGAGTAAGTTTTCGAAATGATCTTCAAGATCTTTCCAACATACTAACGAATTCTAGGTATCTATGTGGCCCAATCTTTGATGCTCTACGTCGTCAGCCTCAGGATCTTCGTTGCCCTCCACGTCACGAAGCACATGTCTGTGGCCTCTGCCAATACCGTGGCTTTCATTTCTTATCTCGTTCTCACTGCAGCATTTGCCGAGGTTTTCTACTGGACTATTGAGAGATCGTCAGCTTGGTGTGCTAGACAGTTCTTTGACTGGAGCAGAACTTGAATTGCTTTAGACTTTTGAGTAGAATTATGGTATCGAGATCGTGTAGAGTTTGCGTATGAATACAGTTAAGCCTTGCAATCACTATCGAGCACCCGTGTCCCCGCGTCCTAAAGATTATGCTTCGTCACGGGTCTTTTATGACTCGAGCAAGTGTGCTACTGTAGACGTGGCACCTGCATTGACACAACTCTGCTTTCTCGTACTTGAAACGAATGTCGCCATCCTGGTGGCCGTATTGCTTTTTCAATGTCACCGGCCTGGGCCATCACCCAAATCTGCCGTGTCCCGGAGACTTTGTGCCCCTCAATTTACGAATTTACGACACTTGTTTAGGGCCCAGAGTGTCTTCATGCACGGCCGGCTGCAGACAAGTTGTTTGATGAAAGTCAAGGAGTTGTTCTCCGAGCAGGGTCGTCCGCACGGAAAGTCCAAGGCCTCGGGCTTCGGGCCCCTCACTCCCGAGGCTCAATTTGACTCTCAGCCTCTCAAGTCTGTGCTTCTAGCCTCTTGAGGCACTTCAGCATTCGCGCCCACGAGCTCAACATATTGGGTGCACGAAAAATGTCAAGAACCAGTATGGACATCCTATACAAACACAAATATGGACGTCCAAATAAAGATTCTTAGCTGATCTGATTCGTTGGGCCTACTGAATCTAGATAAGGGTGCAAGGGTTCAACGAACGTGCCTGAGGAACAGCACGATAAGAGAACATCTTTCATCAATGGTTCGCCGGTCTGGGATCCGAAACAATCGTTCCTGCACTCAACTGTGGGTCCCCCGATTCTCTGCGAGATCGCCAGGAGATCAACAACGCCAGAACCGATGTTTTCTGGCCTTTCGCAGCCAAAGTATACCACTCTGAATTTACTCTAGTGCCGCGACCCAACCTATCAATCACCCGACAGCGGCAACACTTTGACTGCAGATTCTTGAACTCCAGACTCTTCAACAACATGTGGTCGATCATACGATGTTATCGTCCAACCGGAAGACAAGGCATGAAACACATGGGAACATGGACGGGATAATCCTGTCTGCCATCGCACGTCTTGCAGAAGCGTACCTGCTTGAGACATGCATACTGATACGTTGAATCACGCAGCATGCATCTACACTGCAGACGGGTCGGACGTTTTCAAGCGCCTCATGGCATACCATTATTCCTTGAGACATGTCTTCTCGACCGAGACCATATGGCACTACAGGTGGCGTGCGGCCCTCATCGGATCCACACCCTGAGCTAGAGTAAGTTCTCGGACAAGAGAGCGGCTTCACTCTTGAATAGGCTTCAGAGCTTGAACAAACGCTAGACTGAATACAATGCCACCAATCCAGATCTTCGCTCCACCGGAAAGGACGACAAGGACTGAGAATCGATACTGTGCTTTCGCTCACCCAACCGAAGTGGAAGACATGCATGGCGTTCAGTAGCATCAACATGCTGGGTGGGCAGCCATATAATCCCTCATCAGTCGTTGAATATAGGACAAGATTGAACCAGGCGTGAACACCTTTCACCAAAGGTCTTCTCTGCAGTATCCTCTACACTTCTTCAATTGATCTCCCTTCCCTTTCGCATGTCATCATGCGGTCGTTGTTATACTTTCTTGTTGGAGCAGGGAGTTTGATCGAAGCTACTGCGTCAAGCTCCTGTGCCTGTGGCTTCTATGATCATTCTACTGAACAAGTCTTCACTGACTCTATCATCGTTTACTTCAACGAGACACAAACAATCCCGGAAGATGTATTCCATATACAATCTTTCACACACAAGGTCGAGAAAGGATGGAACAGCTTGTATCGTCAAGGTGCTCTTCCTGGCAACAGTTTGATATCCAACTCTTCGGACACACAACAAGCTCTGAATCTCTTCGTTGACCCAAGCACGAATAACCACGTCGTCGATGGCGGTTCAATAATATCCCAACGAGAGGATATCCTTCATGGAACTTTCCGTGCCTCTGTGCAAGGGTCCGGGCCTTGGACAGGTGGTTCCGCGCTTTCTATGATGCTCCACTTCAACGAGTCAAGCTCTATGGAGATTGATATGCTGAATAACGACAATCCGGAGAATGCCCGAATCACCACGCTTGTCAATGGCGAGTATCCTTCACAGGAGTATGGCTTGAACTATACCATCTTGGAGAAGGGTTCTGAAAGCCTGCCACCAGTCAACCCATGGGGTTTCATCACCATTCGCGTGGACTGGACGAAAGAACATGTCAACTTTACTCTGGCAGAGAATCTTACTCGCTCAATCGCCTACAAGAAGGAAAACTTTCCCACAGAACCTATGCCATTGATCTTCAAGCATTGGTCCACAGGTGATTCTGAATGGATGCAAGGACCTCCAGTGAATCGTTCGGTTGCCAGTGTGGCATGGGTTCGAGCATTCTTCAATTCCTCTGTTACTACAACTGCCCAGCGAAAGCAGTTTGATGCTCAATGTAACCCTGCTCTGGCATGCAATGTTGACGACATTACTCTGAGGGACTCGACAAATTACACATCTGCTTCGCTGAAAGCATGGAAAGAGCCACCGAGAAATGAAAAGTGGCGACTGCCTTCGGGTATCGTGGCCGGCTCCTCCTCTTTCTTTGGTCTCGCTGCTCTACTCAATGTGCTCTTTCGAAGAAAGCCATGGGAAAAGCTCGTCAGCAAGAACCAGAAATCTGGAGAGGCAATCTCGAAACGATCTTCAGCTACCAACAGTGATGACAAGTTCGACATGCAGCGATCGGTCTCTAGCTCAACCCTTGGCAGTGTAGGTGCTTCAAAGTCGAAGTGGGACTACAAATGTACCACTGCCGAAGCATCATCGTCGAATGTGACTTGGGAAGCAAGGACGCCAGCGTCGCTGTCTAGAGCTCCAAGCACAGTTGACTTCATTGACATGGCATTGCTTCGTCAGAAAATGTCTGAAGATTGTCCTTCAGCATCCGGCATCCCTATCAAGCAGAACAACTCACGATACAGCCCTTCTACTGGTAGCGATGGCTGGTCAAGCAATGACAATACAGTTGTCTGCCCATCTCCTGAAGTCAATTTCAGCAAGCCCATCAAGAGCCCTGAGACGATCCGAGAGTCTGCTGAGATTCAGATTCTCGAAAGGAAGTCACTCGAGTCCGACGAGAAGTTGAAACAAGCTATCGTTATTGCGCATGAGGTGCCCACTCAGACGACCCCTACTACAAGTCTCACTCTTCCACCCGGTACCACTGCTCCCCCCAAGCGTATCGACTACCTTGCCGGCCTTGTTACTATATCGTGTGTTGGTGTCACGCTCATCCATTTCACCCTCACCTTCATTCCTTACGCTGGTGGTCTAGGCTACGGAAGACACTACAAATCAGAGTTGTATGCGCGTTGGTCAGTCACGCCCATCTTCTTGAACCCTATCTGGATTGGCCCATTCTTCACTACCTCCACTCGCTTCCTAGCTCAAAACTTCCTTCGCACCGGTAATCTCGCCGATGTGGCCAAGAAAATGTTGCTCAGAGCCCCTCGCATGATCATTCCTGCTGTAGTTGTGGCAGGTCTCGAGTACTTCTTCATCGAACTCGGTTTGACTGCGAAACTACAATGGCTTCCGTCCATCACTTGGTCATCTTGGCCTTATGTCACTGACTATCCCAATTTCGGCTGGTTCATCAACGAGATTCTCGAGCTTGGGTATTTGATTCCGAATGCAGCTCCTGGTATCGTCAACCACTATTCTGTGGGTGTGCTATGGACCGTCCCTGTGCAATTACAGTTCAGTTATGTCACATTGCTGGGCGCAGTCATGGTCCGCGAGATCAAGACTTCTTGGAAGAGATTTGCCTTTTACTTCTGGTGTATCTCTGTGAACTGGTACTCTTTGAGTTGGGGTAGTTGTTTCTGGGTCGGTCTTATGATTGCCGATATGAACGTCACTTACAATTACGTCGCCTACCTACAGGCAAGGCCTAAGTACCTGTATCCGGCTTATGTCGCCATCTGGATTTTGATCGTTCAGGGACCCCTCTGGACTTTCCTCGAGGACCGCGGGTTTTACCCCTTGATGGCACGCGAACGCGACATCCACCCCAACCTCGCTACAGGCGAACGTCAAGGCCAAGTAGCCTCCGAGTACCCAGCATACTTCGAACCCCGCCTGAACACCATCCTCTTCGCTGGCGCCGTACAAATGATGACCGAGCTCAGTACCTCCTTCCAATGGTTCCTCTCACTCAAACCTTGGATCCTTCTCTTCCCACACACCTTCACCATCTACCTAATCCACGGCTTTGTGTTTTGGTCGTTTGGATCTTGGTTATGCGTCACCCTCGCCTCTACAGAAGTTTTACCTTACTGGGCAATCTGTTTGATCTTGTTTGTCTGCTGCTACACCGTTATTGGTCTTGCTGTCGTGTGCATCACACCCTTCTCTGAAAGTGCAGCAATGGCATTGTGCAGGAATTGTTGGAGATGGGCTAGTGAAGAGCCGGTTCCTCATCGCAAGACACTCCAACCATTCCCCAAAGACCTCTTCTTGAATAGAAATAGCACAGAGGCGAAGGATGAAGAGGTGGCTGTGCATGGACCAGTGGAGGTGTTTGATGAGAAGAACTTCAAGGAAGAGAAGGGGGACAAGGGTAAAGGCGTTGATGAAGGTCCGTTTGATGATGTTAATGAGATTGAAAGTGAGTCTTCGGGATCGAGATCTGGGTCTGGATATGGGAGGGGAAGGCAATCTGTTGACGATGCGATCTTGCCTGTGGTTGATACTGAGTCGTCGGACAAGGGACCGGGTATTTACTTTGACGAGAAGAAGTAGGAGATGCGTTGCGATGTTTCATGATTATTTCTTCTTATATACACGTTGGTAATCTAAACTGGGTCTTACATATCTCTTCATGATCCGAATTGGTCTTTCCCTCGTGCAAGACATCACGTTTTAGCTAATTGACCACATCCAACCAAACAATCGTGGCTTTCCAGGAATTATGCGGAAGTTTTGCAGAATCGAGGTTGCTGCTTCCATCTGTGTTGGAATCGTCTGATAGCATGATGATCCACTTGGACTCACAGAGTGGACCTTTGTTCATCCAATGATCATGCTGTTGCTAGGGCTGGCGCATCGCTTCTTGAGACCCAACTTTGAGTTACTCGTCGGTTCGACCTTTGGTCGGTTCGAAACCAAGATGGATGGACACTCAAGAGCTCACTGAATTTGATCGTCACTCGAGAGTCTGTTATAGCTCATGCCCATGGAGCAGGCACAAAAGGACGAGCGATAGCAGAAGCTGCGAGTGGTGCAGTATTCCTTTGACCCAGCTCCTTAGCCAGGTTGGGTAGCATCTCCTCAAGGACATGTGCACACCTCAATCCATCCTTTCCAGTATTATTCGGTGACAGATGTGCGAAGAACTGCTCTTCACCTCTAACACCACCAATATTGACAATACCAATAGGCATGCTTTGTTCTCTTGCTCTTTTGACCAGTCTCCAGGCCGAGTATGTCGCCAGCGAAGATCCCAGGACCAATACTCTTGCGGCTTCATCTATGGCTTTCTCGGCGGCCACTTTTGTTGCATCCGGAATGCTTTCTCCAAACATGATGACGTTCGGTTTCAGTATGCCCGCCGTGCTCTTTTCAGCCAGCCATGCGCCATCTTGGTCAACCTCGACAATATGTCTATTTCCATCCTTGTCTTTCGGTGGTTTGGCTAAACAGCTCGGACAAGCAGGGTATCTAAAGGTGGCATAATCTACACCAGGCACATCGACATCACCGTCTGGATTTGTCTTCAAGCCCAGTCGTCGTCTTTCGTCGGGGTTCTCGGTAGTGAGGGCGCCAGAGGCTAACATTTCGTCTAGGAAGGAGCTCCATGCGGGATTGAGTTGAGCGAGGTCGTTTTGAAAGAGTTGGCGGTCGTATTCGGTGCGGCAGGTTGTGCAGACGGCGCTGCGAAGGTAGCCGTGGAGCTCAAGGGTTCGGAGCGAAGGGTGAGCTTGTGGATGGAAGGAGTCGACGTCTATGATTTGGCGCTGTTAGCTGTGCTTGTCCTGTGTTCTTGGGTCGTCAATGTATTACTCTGTGTGATGACGCTGGACAGGTAGCCCATACGACCCAGTTCTGCCACAGCCTTATGAGCAGGATTCGGCTTTGACTTGTTCAGGTTGGTCCATCCCAGGAAACTGCGAGCCCAGTAGCGTTTCCGGGCTGCATGGTTGGCGACGAATTCGTGAAAATAGATTGGTCGGTATGTTTTGTTGAGAGTGTATGTGCCTTTGGTGCCTCTGTAGTCGGCAAGACCTGATGCGACAGAGATGCCAGCTCCAGTAAGCAAGACGGTCCTGTCCTTGTTCCTGGATTGTTGTTGTGGCGTCGATGTCAAGAAGTCGGTCAGGGCGGCGATTGCACCAGAGACGGAAGCGGCGGCCGACGGGATGATGGTTGGTGCTGGCAAGGGTGCCGTGTATGGGATCCGCATCAATTGTCCTCCTCCCATCTTTGAATGTCTGCCCTTATCCTGCTTCCACACGCGACAGCTTCTGCTAACAAGATCTTTGCTGGGAAGGAGACAGTATACTTTTGGAATTGGTCTGGACAACGACGTCATCGATTTTCGGCACAGTTCCGCAGTCACGACCAGGGTTGCCCTCATTCAGTATATAAAATTGCATCTACACTACCAAGCGGCCGTCCACTCTTCTGAGCTTTGCAAAAGTGTGTCCATACACAGCCCAGCCACAGCGCTACTCACACGCTGCTTCTCGGTGCTTACCACCTGCTGCTCAAGTCGGCTCATGGCTTCCAATTCCTCTTTCATGCCTGTGACCAGATTCTTCAGGCATTGGAGCATGATAAATAGTGACGACTCTGCATCTTGAGGCGTTTGCGAGGGCGCTGATGGAAGCATTTCAACCTCTCTTTCCACCAGTCGCAACCGCTGCGTAATTGATGCATGCGTTTGATGCCAATCTTGCGGTAAAGGTCCTGAGAAAATGTGCGCTCTGTCTGGTTCTGTCGCCTCTGCTGCCCATTCCGAGAAGCTGTGCACCAGTGCTGTATATTTGCTTTCGGGAGCCGACAAGCCCAAAATCTCGTTGAAACAGCCACTTAGACTCTGTATCATCTCGGCTGCCTCAGGGCTCACATGTGCTCCCTCGACTCCCAGCCAGGCTGCTATAGCGGACAGGCTTCCTTGTTCTTGGAATATCCGTTCTTGCTCTCGTATCTCCGTCACCTCATCTTGCGCCGCTTCAAATTCTGTCTGCAGGGCTTTCCTGGCACTTGTTTCGTAACTCCGAAGGTTGGGCTCGGCTGATTCGTGCAGTAGCGAGAGATACAATAATTCAGATTGCAGTTTGGTCGTTTCGAAAACGGCGCCTGATTGGACAGCCTTCTCTTCAGCAGATGGAGCAGCCCGTGATGATGGTACTGGTGGTTTGGGTAAGGTGGTTTTGGCAGGACTATAGTGTTGTTGAAGCGTGTTGAAGGCCGGCCTTGAGGTAGTAGGTTCGAGATTTGGTCCGGTCGATGCAACGCCTGGCCGCACAAGACGTCTGACAGGAGGTTTGACAGGATCCGCGCTAGTCTTGACGGAAGTCGGCGTGGATGGAGCGGATGGTGTGGTGAACCTCGAGTTGAGACCGGTGGTTGTCGAGCTCTGCGACCGAAGATGTCTCGAAGAGGAATCAAGGGTAGTAGGACGTTTCAGGGTCGAGTCACCCGTGCTCGAGGTTGTGATAGTCGAGGTACTGGCTGTGCGGGAATGCGAGGCGACACGTGGTTTCGGTGCGGTGGTTGTCGAAGAAGTCGGTGCTCGAGTTGAGAGGATTCGCGAGGAAGCGGTCAGGGCAGACCTGGTGGACGCTGCGGCGGTTGTCGAAGAAGATTGAGGTATCGTACGTGTGCGAATGGACTGCGAGCGACTGACAGGAGCAGCAGGGGGTGGCATAGCAGCCTTGTCTTCCTTGGATCTTGTAGCAATGCCCATGGTCGGCCTTGTGGGACTAGAGATAGGCAAGCTGGAAGCAGAAACATCTTTGGTTGTCTTGAGCGAGCGTGGAGTCAGTTGAGGAAGTTGACTCCTCTTCTTCACTGTGCCATCATTGTCTACCGAGTCCTATACCATCTCAGCGCTGTTGAAGAGTTGAGTGGCCATAGGACGCTACCTCGGGTTTTGTTGTTGTCTTTACTGGACGTCGGATTGAGGGCATTCGCGACGACATAGTTGCTACACAAGGTCGCACACGCGATCTTCCCCTTTGGACAAAAATCTTTGATCACTAGAGGGTGTACGATTGACTAGGAGATCATCTCAAACAGAGCATCAAGGTAGTGAAGTGATGTTTTGATGTTGATGTCGATGTCGAGTGAACAACAACGACTCAAAACAGCTCCGTGTTTGCTTGATTTGCTCAGCTTCCTCCAACCACAACCAAGACCAAGACCCACCCTTCTTCCACAACACATCTTCACTCTTCTTTGTGAGTGACAGTGAACTTCACTGTTCTAGCTTCTGTACTCAAAAAATTTACGTAGTCCTTAAACATGGACGGCGACGACTTTCACGCCTCACTTCAACAGCTCAAGCAGCAGCTTGATTTCATGAACAAGCGTACTGCTTTGACCCTTGACAACTTTCATCAACATTCGAACAAGGTAACACACAACTCAACCCAGGTTGGTCAATTCCCCTCTGTCACCATGGCAGACTATGCGCAACAAATCAAACACATCGGCGCCACAGTCGGCGCCCTCGCTAGCCAACAAGAAGATCGTTTTCAAAAACTTGAGCATCAGCTCAATCTTCTGTCTGACAAACTTGACCATCTTGCTCTGAATCACCCTCGTTTCACTCCCCCTGAATCATCCACCTCATCCGTTCACGAAGACGCAGAGTGTTGCTTTGATCCACCATTTGGAAAGTCCTTCAACACACCACGTCAGCCGCTCGACATGCCACATGCAACTGTAGCCGACCTTGGTGGCTACTTCTACCCGAATCGCCACAAGCACAGTCACACCGATCAGCAATACATCTCGGATGCCTCAACATTCGTTGGTAGGGTCAATCGAACACTTTGTACAAAATCCATCACCAACATTGAGATCTTCTTGAGAGGTTCTGCCTTACGTTGGTTCCATATCGGCCTCAGAATCGATGGTTCACACATCTTCGATGGTGAAAATGGAGAAATGAACATGGCCAAATTCTGCCAATCGCTCGTCCTTCTTTTTGGCTTTCCCGATCGTTCAAGACCAGAATCTGATGTCGAGGCTTTGCACCTCAAGCCGGCTTTCATGCGCAGCGTCATTCTCGAAGACTATGCTTTCCCTGCTCTTGAACACGCACGTCGTCAAGGAACTGTGAGTGATTTCGAGCTCGCTCTGCGCAGAGCCATCGAACGTTACAACCAAAGCTCCACATCCATCACCGTGAACCCCGACATAGCCAAGAACAAGGATCTGCTCAATGCATTGGCCTGCCTCCGCCGCAGCGAATGTGACCAGAGACTCGACAAGATGTTGGCCCGCAAGCGACAGCGCTTCGACAATGCAACATCAGCTAATGCACCAGGCGAGAATGCAATCAAGGCAGGCTCGACCGGTAACGAACTCCGACACAAAGTCGCAAATTCCAGGAACCAGATCATGCAGGCGCAAAACAGAGACTGCACCGTGAAAAACCCCGCTGAAGGGGCTGCAGTCGCCAAAGCCGGCATTGAAACTCCAATCTCCACCAGACTTGAGGATCCTAAGGTCTCAAAGTTGATCGGGATTGCGACTGAGCCTTACCCTCCAGGCTCGACAACCGAATCATGTCCTACGACTCCAATTCTGCCTTGCCAAGTCTCAGCAAGCTTTTTGAATGGAGCTCCTCAAATGAGAAGCTTCCGCGAACAGCTGCAGGGAATAGCAACCATGGGCTCTGATGAGGTCGATCACAGCCTACCAGTGTCTCCCAAGACGGCCAAGAAGTTTGGCCTTCAACCAGGCCGTCAACTGTAAGTTTTGCTCCCCATTGAATACCTCACGGAGGAGGTGCTGACACAGCATTACAGTACACAACAGCAGCGTTTCCAGATGAAGCAACAGATGCTTATGCAACAAACGGCTCAGTCTCATCAGAACGCCATGAAGGAGGAGAAGGCAATTCACACTGATGACTACCCCAGAAATATCTCCCACCAGCAAAGTTCTGTACTCGCTATGTGTAAACGTCCAGAATACAGTCAACCCGACGAGATTTCCCGCACTCATGAGCATGATTTTACTTCTAGCTCAAACAGCGGTTCAAAGTCCCGTCTCGTGGCTCACCAGCAAGCCCTCATGGAGCAGTTCATGACTTTCCCAGATGAGGATCTACAAAAGTCTGAAGAGACAACCGACAAATTCCCCGAACAAATGTCGCAATATCTCCAGCACAAAGCAGCACATGAAGCCAAAAAGCAGAACGGAGAGATCATACAGGATAAACCGCGCACGTCCAAACAGGAAGAAACTGACTTGCAACAGAAGAAGCGCAAGCTGCTTGCTCTTGCCGATAGGGCCAATCGTGTATACCAGCGCGAAGAACCACACATCAACCCTCACTTATATTACGAGAGCGGATGTGCCGCTATGAAGGAATCTATGGAGCAAAACATGACACGCCTCGAGCTTGGCCCTCTTAATGATCAGAACTCGACAAGCTATGCTCAAATGCTTGAAGACCACGCTGCAGCAGTAGCTGAAGAGAATATCCATAAAGTTGAGCTGCCCTCCCGCCTCGCTTTCACCAGCGGCGAGCCCATATGGCAGAAGTTTGAGGCCGCTGATGGTGCTGGATCTCCAGCCCCAGAGGCCACTCATCCTGTCGCACCAAATCCCAAGCTTTCTGTCTACGTTCCTCCTTCCATGCGTGGTGTCGCACCTTCCTCAGAGTCTGCACCTCCTGTCGCTGCTCCCTACAAGCGCTGGGCCCCTTGGCTCTCTCGCGCTGATGGCGAAGCTCCTCACGCATCTGGCGGTAGATACGAGCCTCAATCGTCTCGCGGCGGTTTCTCTAGCACTTACGGAAGTGGTGGCTTTGACAGCAACAGAACCAAGGAAGATACGTGGACCCAAGAAGAAGCTTCGATACTCGAGGCCGCCTTGAGAGAGGACGGAAGAAACTAATGAAGCATGTTAGCAACGAGAAACGAACGAGAATCACGACACAAGAATGAAACATTATGAGAAACGATGGAACAGCAGTAATCAAAGGGCAAGACGGTCGAATGAGAAACCAGAGAAATCCCCCTTTATGTACCATAGAAAAAGCACTATGGTTTCCAGAAAGCACTTCGCTAGGTAGCATGAAATGAAGCACTGATATCCAATGAAAGCTTGAGAGACAAGACCATGGAAAAAATGCATTGTTGGCCCATTTAATCTTCCACGTGTATACCACGAGTAGTGCCATGAGGTCGGAAAGTTTAATCTCACCCAGAGCTTCAAAACAGAGAAACGACGTCAGACCTCCAAGTCAAAAGAACATTGTCATGGTGTGATGACCAGAATTCTGTTATTCGCACGAGCAAGAATTTGGCAATCGAATCAGCTGCTCAATCTATCACACAACCCACACAATGAGCAACAATAAAGCTAACAAGGAAGAGAAAAAATCGAATTGTGTTCTTTGGTGGTATAAAGCGCTAAACTTATCAACGACAAAGAGAATAACTTGTGTGTGGTTTTTTGTGTCTTGGGCATGTTTCTATAACTTTGCTGCTCGCCGGATTGATCAAATCCCGTGCCCCAAAGCTCCTTCATATACTTCATTTTCAGTTTCGAAAGATGGGATCTTGGGTTGCAGTGATCCAGTCACGCACGCTCCAGGTAATAACAGGCTCGGATCCGTAGAGGAAATCAATTCCTGAGGAGAGCGTCTTTTGTTTTCGCACAAGGAGGATGAAGAAAGACGGAGCTTTTACAGACTGCCTCTGCGGGGCACGCTGACGCCTTCGAGGGCAGCGTTGTCGGTGAACCAGCTAACTTTGTCGCCGGCACCCTCGTTGACCAGACCGCAAGGCAGGGCGCGGCCCTCCTCGGTCTCAAAGATGCTCTTGAAGATGTCCTTCTTGCCGGCGCCGGTAGCGACAAAGGCGATCTTTGCGCCGTGGAGGACGACAGGCAAGCTCAAGGTGATACGCTTTGGTGGGGGCTTGGGCGAGTCGGAGATACTGAGGACCCAGGCATCTGTCTCGCGTAGCAGAGGGTGCTCGGGGAAGAGCGAGCAGGTGTGGCCGTCGGGACCGCAGCCGAGGAGGAGAAGATCAAAGAGGGGGAGCTTGACCGAGTCGCGAGCGGCAAAGACAGAAACAAGTTGCTTCTCGTACTGGTCTGCGCACTCTTGGGCGTCATCGAGGTATTTCTCCTCAATAGGGTAGACTTTGGGTTCGCCGAATGCCTCCTTGTCAATCTTGTCTAGCAGCTCGTCCTTGAGCAGCTTGTAGTTGCTGTCTTCGTGGTCCAGTGGCACGCAGCGCTCATCGGCGAAGAAGATCTCCCACTTGTTGAAGTCAACGGTGTCAGCGGGAGTGCCGTCGCCCTTGGCGAGGAGAGCTTGGGCAAGAGTCTTGGGCAGCGAGCCTCCTGAAACGGCCACTCTGAAGGTACCATGACGCTCAATGGAAGCCTGTTGTTGCGCGAGGACGTACTGGCGCAGAGTGGGAGCCAGTTCGGCAACGCCGGGGAAACTGTAGACATTGGGAGATTTGCCCATGGTGATGGTTGTTGTGACGAATATGGTCGCCGGGACGTCAAATGTCAATGCCGGTGAGCGGAGTTGGGTCCAAACAGACAGAAGTGGTGCGAAGTGAAGTGACGGTGATGTGACCAGGTACAAGATGGGCACCGACTCACTTATCAGATAAACGACTTCTATTTCCGATGACGAGCGCCTTCCAATCTTTCTAACGTGGGGCTCTTCCCGGTCTTGGCGGGCCGGCAGTACAAAATGCCCATTTCTACGACATTCTGCCGCTCTCTCACCGCAACGACCCTCTAACCAATGCCGAACTTGCGATCTTTGCTGTGGTTAACTCAATCGCAGACCGCAACGACCGACAGTCCATCAACTTGACCGACTCCTGTACTCCGTAGACCTCGTGTCTCTCACGTCTGCTGTCAAAAGTGGGAAGCCGTCGCGGAGATAGGAGCGCTCTCCTCGGAGCCAACTTCCGTCTGCCAAGTTCGCGTCATGCTGCGCGAACTTTCTGCCATTCACGTGTCGCTCTTGCTGAACATCAACCTTAAAATGTCCTCTGCAGAGCCTCATTCGTCTATCATACTTGTTAGGCCATGCCATGTTTGGGATTCATGTTTCATCTATAGGTAGGTGGTTAAGGAACATGCTAGAAGCATCAAACATTCCCCTCGGTGAGCCTCCGTTCGCTCCACATACGCTGTTTGCTAGAACAGCCAGTCTGAAGAGATGCAAAACACGATACATAGAAATGCTGGGGCGCTTATGCCATGTATACATACGTACAGCTTACACAGAATCTCAGAGGGAATGAGAGAGATAACCAATGAAGCCGTCTTGAGTAGGTAATAGCCACTTGTGTCAAGTCTTGAGATCGAAGTCTTGGCATGTCAAAAAGAGACGAAGAAGACTAAATATTAGGCAGAGAGCAAGCAGGAATGAGTAGTCTCACAAGGACCGCGGTCATCTCAAAGGAGAGTTGGACTTGAGGCGCAAGTAGGATCTCACATGACTAGAGGCATGTCCCCAGCCTCAGTCGCAACTTGACGGCGGGCCTCACAACTATTAACATAGTCATAATATGGTCAGCATGTTTAAAGAACTCGGCAAGGTGACAAAGCAGTCACTCCATCCTCGAAAAAACGTCCAGGCGCAACACATCCTACCACTCTATGTGTCGCAAACTTTGTAACAAGGAAATTCTTCGTCGTCTGGGAGTCTTACGAATGGAAAGAGCTGGCTTTACGACTGTAAGCGGCTTTTTGCTGCTATGTGATCAATTCGCCGCGACAGACCACGTCGCCCTGACCCAAGCCTCCTCAAAATCGTCTGATCCGAACGTACCTTCCAGCAATCAGACAGTAATTTGAACGCCGAAACCTCGCAATCAGCAATCAATTAGCCCGAAGGATGGAAAGTGGTGGTGGCACAGCACACCCGTCAGCTGTCAAAATCCCTCGAGGCGTTCGGATTCAAGCGCAAGGCCGTCTCCCGAGACGCCCAACATAATCGCCGAGGGCTGGTCGTTTTCACAGGTATCAAAGAAGATGTGCTGAGACGGATAGATATTGCACGTTTCGTAAGCAGCGACGAAACACTTTTTGAGATTTTCTTACGAATCAGCCCTGCTCACATCAGATAAGGCTGGTTGTCAAAAGAAACGCTTATATGTGTGATTGATGGATGGTCTGCGATTGAGTTAGCAATTCCACTTTCGCGGCGTCTTAGCTTATGGTGGTTGGTGGTTCGATTTAATCCAGAGGCTTCGATGAGTAGGTTCGCGAAACGCCTCGCTGTTAGATGGGCAATCGTGCGAACGCCAGGTCCTTTCCAGACTTTTGACCGCTTATTCGTAAGATTCATTTGGGCAGCATTCTACCGGTGCTTTTGGGAGTCGGTCGTGGACGGTGGACAGAGTGGATTCGACAGTTGTTTGATTGCCTGTAGTAGGTCCATTGATGAAGGGTCTAGGACTTGAAACGGCCTCTTCTTGACATGAAACAGGCAGCAAAGTTCGATAAATTTCTGGCCAAGCCTCATGCCCCGCCTTTTAAACCCGACCCAAGCTATTCTTAACGACGACCAAGTACAAGTGAACATGCAACAGAAATCTCACGACAAACTCTGAGAATAGAGCTATGTAAAGCTGTTTAGCTCGACCGTGTAGCCTCTACGAGTCAGCTCACTACAACGAAGTTCCACGAGAAGGATTAATCTGAGCATGTTATCAAAAAGCTATCTTGTGAAATGCAACGATAGGGCTTTGGAACGGTCCAGAACTTGACACTGGGAAGTCGACCCGACGGACAGTCCTGCAGCCGATTGTACCTCTTCTTGCCTGGGAGTTTTAAAGCAAACGGATCCGGATCAATTCATGCGAACCACACAGCTCAACACGAATGACTTGCAGGAGGCCCGTACGCATCGGCTATCATGTACTTGCGGCATCAACTCGAACAGCGAGTTTCTGGCCGAGAGATCCAGGAATATGTATAGCACAGATTTGTACACACAGTATCGTAAACTTGCCTATTGCAGTAGTATGCTGGTAACCTTCGCCAACGTGAGCATAGTCTGCAGGTGCCTGGCCCGGCTATGTACCTTGTGCAGCGTGCCAGCGTGATATCACCGCAGCAACCTGTTGTTTGAGGACCTTCTTCCGCTCATCTGAACACCACGAACCTTCCACAGCATTTATAGCAATCGTGCTCCAATCAGATGCACTCAAATTGAAAGCCTCCTGGACAGCGCAAAAGTTCTCTTGGACATACTTTCCGAAGTATGCCGGATCGTCACTGTTGACGCTGAATCGCACCCCTCGATCAAGGAACTCCCTGATAGGTGCTTCTGCAATGCTGCCAATGAAGCCAAGCGTAACGTTCGAGATTGGGCAAAGTGTGACGAGCGTATTGGTCTCGGCAAGCCTTTGCATCAACTGACTGTCTGTCTTGGCAATCCATGCATGATCGACTCTTCCGGTTCTGAGATTCTCAATCGCAGACGACACGAATGTCGCGGGACCTGCTTGACCCACATGTGCAGTGCATCGTATCCCGGCTGACCTTGCAGCGTCGAACACTGGCTTGAAGTACTCGGGTGGATGTACGAGTTCATCGCCAGCCATGCCGAGCCCAGCAACAGTATTCTCCGCAAAGTGACCAGCATCTGTGACTTCCTGGAACATCCTTGTTGCACTCTGCAAGCCGTGGTGGCGTAGTATACACGGAATATATGCAATGCTGATGTCAAAATCCCCTTGCGCTCGCTGTTTTGCGCGTGACAGTCCTTGTAATACTGTACTGTAGGTAATGCCACGACTTGTATGAGCTTGAGGATCGAAGAAGACCTCTGCATGCTTCACATTCTGCTCGTGTGCTTTGACAAAGTAGGTATAGGCTAACTCTTCAAAGTCCTCGGCCGTTATGAGAACAGTACTGCCGAATGAGAAGTACCGGATGAAGTCAGTGAGAGAAGTGAACGATCCATAACGTGCTTGCAGTTGCTCTTCGTTGGCATATGGTCCATCGTGATCATCAATTGAGGTAAGATCTATATTGTTCCTTGCAGCAAGTTTAAAGAGAAGATGAGGAGTGAGAGCCCCTTCTATGTGAATGTGGTGCTCGCATTTGGGTAGTGTGACAAGCAGTTCATGAAGCTTGTCTTTGCACATGTTTCGACTGCTCTGGACCCTGTTGCAACGATTCGGCGTTTGTCGTCTCGGTGGTACCGCAGGATCAGTTTGATTGTGCAACACCGTTTCCGCTTAAGCAAGGTGTCAGGCGCGCAGTTTTGCGCGAGTGCCTCTAGTGTTGGGAGCCTGAATCCTGATGCTCGTGCACTGCAAGAATAGTCTGTTAAGCTGTCTCGGGTTGCCAGAGCCGTGTTAGTAAGGTATCTCAGCGCGCAGTAGGGACTAGAGGTGCAAGGCGTCGGAGAGGCCCGCGGCGCAACGGCGCGCAAGTGTGGAGAGGAGATGTTTCTTCTTGAGCTTCAAGTCTAGAATTTAGCTGTACAGTAGTTGCCTGGTTGCAAAACAACTGTCGTTTGTCCAGGTCAACGTCGAACATTCGAAAGGTAGACAGCAATGACTTGTGTGAGACACGAGAATGACACAGTGTTGATAAACAGACGACCTCGGCCAGCTGCATACAGTGCCTCCAGCAACGTTAGTGGGGCGTCTGCGAGGAAAGCACGACCTCGGGCAAGTTGGCTGGCTGATTGCTGTGTTTGTCAGCCTCGAAATCTGGTGGTGAGAGTGCTGCATAATCCTAAGAGACAAGCCCCAATAAAGGAGACAAAACCATGCGTAATCGACCATTGAGTTTGCCAGGATTGGAGGCAGTACTTTTTGCATGGCTGGGATTGGCGATAAGCTGATGAATCGCATGATCTTGTAGCCGAGAGTTTAGAGCGGTTTGAGAGGTCCCCGACGAAGTTTTGCTCAGCCTTGGCTTTGTCTGAAGTGGCTCATTTTGGGTTACGGCCCTAGTCAGGGTTGGCGGGTGCACGGTCACGGCGGCCAGTCCGTTCTGAGGGACGCCAAAGGCAATCAACGATTCAAGGGCGACCATCGAGATGCTTCGCGGCTTTGCTTGCAAACCGAATAAATCTACGCTGCGTCCGCTCCATCTGGTCGATCCAACTCTTGCATCTGAGATCCTCTGCCGTCTGAAAATGTCCACCTCAAATACAGCCCCTTCTCCCATTCAGGGAGTCTGTTACTTTTCCATCCAACACACAAATCCCTCACACAACGACGAGACACCTTTAACAACTCCATTCACCCCAACTGGTGAAAACATCATCGCTGATCCATCAAATCCATTGCTTGCTTATCGACCTTGCTTGCAATCACCCTCAATCACAAAAACACACACAAGAATGGATTCTCTATTGCAACTCCAGACTCAAGTCGCACACATTCCTCCTCCAAGACGGCCTCAACCTCAACCTCTCCAAAATGTTCTCGCCGTCAGCGATGATTTGACCGAGCCAGAAGAAAGCTCTTCATCAAGCCAAGGACCCATCACCTCACCTATGGAGATTGCTAGATGTTCACGCTGCCATCGCACTCAAAGCATCGACATGTCAACGGGCAAGGCAGCCAACATGGTCGCTTACGGTCTAAACTCCTTCTATTGCTTACGATGTGCCAACATTACTGGCTTCCTCCAACGCCAGTAGGATGTGTCATCGTTCGACTTTCGTCTCTTTTCCCTCTTTTGCCAGTTCACTTACTGGTCCGTTCTGCGATGATAATAACGACTCTTTCATGCGCAGTCCGCATAACTTTTTCCTTTTCACGACACAACCATTCTGGATACCCTCGACCAGAATTACGATGGATTCATTCACGGCGTTGCATACCCTGGGTCGGTCAAAGAAAGCATTTCTTGGGCGTTTTTGTTTGCATTCCGAGGCTGGTTCCTGTCCAGCCGGTCGATGCATTGTTGTTTCTAGATACCCCTCTTGCATGAGCGCACTGGTTGCGACTCCTTCTGATCAATTTAAGTGTACCATTTTTTCAAACACTCAATTTTTCTTCCTCAATTCTTGATTTCTGTTTTCAGCTTGCAAAGTTGCAAGATTATGTCCGACAAGCTTTCTTCCTTTTTCGCTGACAGAGTCTGGCTCGGGTCTTTTTCCACTTGAAACTGCACGACCCCACGCCGGATCGTGAACTACCATCGTCGATCAGCGCGGGCACGCGGTGTCCGCTCTCCGAAGGTGTCCGCTTTGCCTCTTCGCGCCTAGCTCAGGGACTTCTTGAAAGAATCTTGACTCGGCGTTCACAGCCTTGTTGCCTTGGCTTGCACGAGCTCAAGAAATGAGGAGCTCATGAAAGATGGCTCGATGGTTGCATCGCTATCTTGTTGACCTTGAGGCGTCAAGTACGACGAATATACGAGGCGTAAGAGTCAGATAAGACACGCACGACTCTTGCATGCTCTTATCTTGAATGCGCGCTCAAGGATCTCGATAAACGGCTGCCATATCGGAGTCTGCTTGTCAACACCGAGGGACAGTTTCTTTGAATACAAACGGTCAAGCCGGGTTGCCGGAGGGTGTAGAGAGTCTCAAGTCAGCGGTGCAAGGTAGCCATTTGACAGAAGCACGTTTTCCATGTGCCTGTTAAAAACGCGGAACTTTCTTTCTCGAAGACTCGATGGCGGTACGATCAGCCGGTGATTGGGTACGGCTTTAGGCACATGCACCACACGTTGCGGCTCAGATACTTCATCTACCGATTCATCTTTGCGATCTGGCATTTTATCAGAAAAACGCGCTAGTTGATATTTTAACCATTCTATTGGAACTGTATGCAATACGACACGAAGGAAGAAGCTATCTCGATGAATGAAAGCTTGCTCTGCGACTCGAAGGCAAGACATCGTTGATGAAAAGCAACAGAGATAGTGTCGACGCATTTTTGATGAAGAGGCAGGAGGTTTATTGAAGTCTACCCAGCTTCAGACACTGCTGAATCAAGCAGACCATCTTTATGCAGAAGTAGACCGTGTTCAACGGACGAGAGTCCATGGTCGAACATGTTCTCTGAACACTGCTGATGCTAGAGAGTACGCCATGCTCCGCGTCCAAGACTCGTCAATCTAACCGCGACGCGTCCCACGGAGTTTTCCGCACTCTAGGAAAAATCGACCAAAGCTGCATGCATGTTTGACCAAAAATCTGCATACAGATATCGCAAGCCATTGCGACGACGCAGACCAGCATGTCGTCTGCCGAGGATGCCTTCTCGTTCCATAGGATCGAAGAGGCCATGGCCCGCTTGAATGCTACGATCAGCAGCTACAAGAACGAAAAAAATGCCAAAGTTAATGGACACCACCGTTCAGAGTCGGATGATCTTCCTTATGCGCCTCGCTCGACTCTCTTTTCGCGAGAGTGGGACTTGTCCACCGACGAACACTACCCTCACATCACCAACCCCGAGCTTAGAAAACGTCTGAATGCTCTTCACGAGCTCTGCAGCTTCCTGCCCGAACACCCCTACAACATCGACCTCTACCTGCGTATCGCAAAGGCATATGTCGAGGTCGGATACCCCGATCTTGCTGTCGGTTCGGCGTACAAGGCTCTTCTGTTGATTGACGCCATCAACAATGAAGACGAGTTTTGCGACGAGGCCATCGAGTCATTGGCATTGAGCATTTCGAAAGAGTCGTTGGAATACAGACACCAGAACATCCTCGAGAATGCTGAGATCTTGGCCCATCTCTATCCTGAGTTCATGTTGAGAAACAAGGATGAGCTTGTAGACGTCGATGTATCAGATGTCGAGGTTTTGGTCTGGACCAAAGGCCTCTTCTCTTTCCAAGTGTGAGTGTTGCCCCGTCATGTGTGGTGCCCCTGTCCTAACGTCGAGTAGTTATGCATTGCTTGCTCAGTGTCTTCACGTAATTGGTTGCCAGAGAAGTGCCGCCGAGTACTGCTTCAAGGCTCAAGACCTCTTCGGAGAGGACCCTACCATCGAGGCAACTCTTGACGTTATCCACGCCGCTATCGACGACTGGCTTCGCGAGACACAGCCCGACGAGTATAACAAGCCCGGCTTCAAGTTTGGACTTGACCAGTTCCCTGACGAGGGCATGGTCCGCAGAGAGTGCTATCCCTGGAACGAACACGAACCCGATCGCTGCTCAGACGAGAGCTTGAAGTTTTTGAACGCAGAGATGGAAAAGGTTGCACCGAGACTCGAGGTCAAGGCCACCAAGCTGCCTTTGTTGACCGAGGGTGACGGCGTGGAAAAGTTTGTTACACAATTAGGTGTCTTTGCAAAGGAAGACATTGCCCCCGGAGAAATCGCGCTGTCTGAGACTTCGCTTCTCACTGCAAACAACCGTCTGCAGGACGCCTTGTGCGATGCGTGCAGTGCTGATCTGCCCGAGCTCAGCGATCCAGCTTCTGCTGATGTTGTGGCATGTCCAGACTGCGAAGTCGTTTTCTGCAGTGAAAAGTGCAGCGACCTTGCTCAGGAGGAGTATCACCCTGCCATCTGTGATCGCGGTGTTGAGGACATCGCGAAGGATGTCCCACCTGCAGAAGCTGCCAACGCCTTGTACTCTCTGCTGTTGCTCAGATCGTTGGCTATGGCAGAGACGCAGGAGATTCACCCCTTGGACATCAAGTATGTCAAATTCATCTGGGGTGACTACCACACCCTCGACTTGTCAAAGCACTGGCGCCCACACGACCGCCACAGCACCGAGTCACCATTCCCACGCACCCTCCCTTTCAGCTTCCAAGCCAACGTCGTGCTCCCCTTCAACATGCTCGAGAAGATGGACGTCGACATTTTCAAGAACCCCCAGTACGACGTCTGGGTCTTCAACACCCTGTACGCCAAATTCCGCGGCACGGCATCCGCTCGCCTGAGTGGATCAGGTGGCGGCGTGGCTCGTGGCCCCGAAGTCAGCGCCGTACACCCCATGTGGTGTCTCGCAAACCACAGCTGCAATCCCAATGTCACTTGGCGCTGGGCCAGCGACGTGCGCTTCCGCGTCCTGGAAGAAAGACCAACCTGGCACGGAAGCGAGTCCCGCGGCGGCATCAAATACAAGGCAGGACTCAAAAAGGGCGAAGAGGTGCTCAGCCATTATTGTGACATCGACTTACCTGTCAAGGATCGTCGCGAATGGGCTGCAGGCGCTTTGGGAGGTAACTGCTGTTGCGAGAGATGTCTCTGGGAGGCTTGTTTCGAGGACATGAAACAAATCAATCGCGAGGCTGACAAGGTGCGTCGGTGATTAGTGCAGTCGTCGGAGTTTAGGCCGCCTTCAAGATATGTATAATGTATACAATAAAATAAAATCATTGCAACCTCCATTCCTGGTTTTAGAACCGTGTGTGCAGAGGCACAATGTTGATTGGTTGCCGCACCTGCTTATCTATGTTTGATTAAATTGACAGTTGGTTGCTCAAGCTGAGATGTTCGCTTCCGGCACGAATGCACATTCAATCATGTCGAGGCTGACAATTGGGATGGAGACTTGAATCAGGATTCGATGCACATCTCGATGTGGACACAAGGCGAGCCTGGATCCTCAAGAGCGAGGCTGGGAACAGAGCGGGTATGTCAATGCTCGCTACTACAACAGTGAACAAAGCAGTCAACACCTCGCCAGTAGGCGCAGGTCTTGCTGACGAGCAACGGGTATAGTTCGACACCACTCCATAACATTATTGTGTCGAGAAGCATTTGCGATCTACAAATTGCAATTTGCACCCTGAACCAGAAAGGGTCTGAGGCAAGCATATTGCAAATTGGAACATGTGCGCACATGTAATGAACACTACAAATTTTGGCTTGATCATTTGCGAGATGATGTGCTCCTTGCTGGCCAACCTGACTATGCTTGGTGCAGCTTCGCTTCGTATCAGCTGCAATATATGTGATGTACTGTGCTTACGTCTTCCTCGCAGCCAGAGAGACAGTGGATTGAAACGCGCTTCTATTCGTTGTTGGGTTCGATGGAATGGATGATGCATGAGGGCGGAAGACGCTGCTTGTGTTACACAACATGAGCATCACGCTAGTCACTTCATTGCAGGTGCGGGGGGAAGCCAGAGTGGACGGCACACGGTGAATATTTGTTCTTGGTTGCTATTCGCCAAAACTCCTCATTCTACTTCACAACATTCCCATTCTCTGGTTGGTCAGACTTGGTCATTGTGGTCCATGTCTCATTGTGAACCATTGGCGATGATAAGACCTCCCTGATAAATCTTGACCGAGCTTCTTGGTGTGACTGCCTCTTTCTCGGTATCGAAACGCACACTAATTGTCTTGCTCATGATCCTCTGACCATGTAGCACCTGAACTGCTCTGGCAGCGGCCTCTGCACTTGCAAACTTGGCTGTTGCAATGCCGCGTGATCGTCCGGTAGTCGAATCCCGTCGGATCTCGCAACTGTCGAAGGAACCGATCCTGCGCAGGTACTCCTCTAGTTGCCGCTGATCGACGGCATAGTCCAATTGATTTATGAAGATACCTTTGGACTCGGTTTGTACCAGTCCGCCTGTGGCGTTGATAGGACGGTGATTCGAGGTGTAGACGTAGGTCGAATGCATGTTCTTGAACTCGACCGGAGGTGGCTGACGGAACACCGGACTCATGTGTGTAGGCGTGCTCATAGGTGTGCTCATGGGTGTACCACTCATAGGTGTGCTCAAGGGCGTGGAAAAAGTGGTGCCAAACTGTGGCGGCGAGATCGACTGCATAGGGCGTAGAATGTCGTTGCATCGCAGCAGTTCTGGTGGTGATCGAGCTGTTGACCATAGGTAGACCTTCAGTGGCTTCAGACAAGGTGAGCCAGTAGTCAGAAAACCTAATGACTCTGTTCAACTTTTGTTTCCGAACCCAGATGATATGACTTACCGTATAGGTTGAAGGCATCCCTGGCTCGTTTTATTTTGATCCAACCGCGGCCTTTTTGCATGCCGTAAGGATTCGAGGCCATCTCAGTCCATCCAGGGTGAGGAGCAGCTTTTCTGGTAAGATCTTTCAACATGCCCCAAGTATAGTAAGGCGGTAGCTGTACTCTAGGTTAGATTCTGGCAAGACCGCAGAAGTCCAGAACTTACGCCCTCAACATAAAAGAAGAAATCGCCGTCACCAGAGCTCTTTGCTCCAGATGGAGGATATTGACAATGCATGGTAGGTATTTGGGACAGCATACTGAGTGGTAGGATGATCGAGACAGATTCTAGCGTAGGACGAAGAGACAATTGTAGTAACCAACGATCGCGAGACAAGGGGATTGCAGCAGAGGAGAATTGTTGTTCGATCGATTTTCAGATCTTCGAGGTGAAACTGATTGTAAACAGCAGAGATGGTTTGAGACAAGTCCTCTGGGGGTATTTGTCGAAGGACGTTCTATTTGTACAGACCATTGATGAGAGACTGCGCGTATACAGCTTCGATGCATGATGTGCGTGATTCTCAATCAGCGAATCCGATTCGTTATCTGGACCTTGACCTAGACTTTTGCAAGCAACAGCTGAAAACGGAATTGGATAATCAGCTCTGAATGCCGGCAATGTGTAACCCGAGACGATTGAAGAGGGTCAAACCTCAGCAGGAATCTGGGGTCGCAGCAAGCCATCCGAGCAGGACCCCATGTCACCATGCACGCAAACTGTCCACCCCACCAGAATCAGGATAGCGATGGGGTAGAGCTGACCCTGAAGTGACCATCAAAGAACAGGGGGAGCAAGGTTGAATCTCCGATTATCCGTTGTCGCAGCCAATGCTTTGTCCATTTGCAGATGTCCAGAATGGTATGCAGGGCTGAATGCGCGTTCGGTAGCGGTGAAACCGCTGGTTGGGGTCAAGTTTTGTTTGCGGACTCGAATGAACAAGATGGGGATGTGATCTATCACTTTTTGCGGCACGGCACATACTCATGAATTGAGCGATGTTGCGGTCGTTGACAGAAGCGGCGTGAATCGCGGCTCTGTCCACCAAGTGAAGGCTCGGCAGGCGGCTATATCGACCACCCAGGGTAGAAATCGAGCGCAAGGACCAAGTGCTGCACACGGAGTTGCCATTCGATGATAGCGAAGGTCACACAACATGGTCCCACGCCTATCCGTGCCGCATCCCGTGAAGAATTCTGTGGAGGCGCGATGCAGTATGCTAGGCGAGCACCCAGCTCTCCCAACCAGGTTTCAGGCTCAGCGACAGATGTGGTGACACAAAGTGCGGCAAGGATAATATCAAGCAAAATATTGTGGACGTGCAGAAGGTACAGGCTTGACGTCTGCTGGTCTGCTCCAGAATCTTGGGGAAGTCGCAGTCCACCAACCGAGGTGCAACTTCAAGACGACTCCAAACGTCACAGCCAAAACAGTCCCAAACATCCGGAGCAGGAGCCATCTCAGAAGAGCAAGCGCTTGTACCGGAACTCGATCAAGTTAGGGCCAAAATGTCAACGAGTGAGGCAGCAATTATCGTCGCCCGCTTTCTGAAGGCCAACAGCTACGATGAGGTTTGAAAACACCCTTCACCAAGCTTCATCATTAGGACATCTCAGGCTGAAGTGTTTCAATGTCAGACTTTGGATGCTTTTATCAGGGAAGCTGGCCTCCCACCAAGTGCTGGATCGACAAATAAGGGCGATCTGACCATCGAGAAGATCCTCGAAGAGAAGCGAACCTTTGACATGAGCCTGCAGTTCGAAAGACTCGGCACAGATGATGGCGCTCATGGTTGGACCCAGCATGGTAAATGCTTGTTTTCATTTTACCAAAGCCCAATATTGAATCCTTTCAGCTCCCGCTTTGCCGAACGAGATATCAGGCCCGACACGTTCCAACATCCTTCACATCTCGCTGCCATTGGTAGCGAGCACGGCATCCATGTAAGTTGATCAAGCCATGTTTGAAGGGACGATCCCTGATTGTTATGGTTATAGCGATGCATCCGAACCGCTGTTGGTAGCCACAACCGCTGACCGCCGGCTCAATGTTCACAATCTACCTGCATGCACGCTCAGAAATTCGCTATTGGCTATGCACGATTCACCTGTGCTCTCGACTGCTGTACTTAAGCAGTCATATCTGCTGACAGCCTCTATGTCTGGGCAATTGGCAATTAGCGATATGCAGGGTGAGATCTTTGACAAGCGTCGCGACCATGCCAAGTATGTCGTGCAGATTGCAATCCATGAACTCGAGGATGTGACCTGGCTCGCGACAGCGGGCTGGGATGGCAAAGTTCACCTCTATAGGCTCGACGTCACTGGTGCCGATTCGCCTACGTTGCCGCCTCCTGTTGCATCTATCTCGCTTCCAACTAACCCAGAAGCCCTCCTTTTCATCAAACACCCCGACAATGGTTCTCCCGTCCTTATCGTCACGCGTAGAGATTCGACTCATCTCTTTTACCACAGCGTTGACAGCGAAGCGCGCCTCATCGGCAAGCAGAATCTAGCGCCACACAGCAATGCTTGGATCGCCTTCACCCCTTCAGCGATTGCCCTGTGTCCAACAGATAGCACTCTCATCGCAGTCGCAACAAGTGCTATCCCCCACATGAAACTGCTAATCGTACGCTTGATGGTGCCTTCACTGGACGGCGATGCCTCGCTAGCATCCATCGTGCCCGCTGAAGAAACTCAGGCATCTCAAGCACGCGCCGCATTGGCCTTGCAAGACCGCGAGTCAGCCGCCATTCAGATCCACTGCACAACCATGGCACCGCAGACCGCATACAGCACACCTGCACTCGCATGGCGACCAGATGGCACAGGCATCTGGGTCAACAGCGACGACGGTTTCATCCGCGGCATCGAAGCCACAACCGGCAAAATCGTCGCTACCCTCAAGGGCCACGAACCCGGTAGCAAAGTCAGATGTCTTAGTGCCGGCATGGTATCCTCAGGTGATGAGAAGCAGGAGTGGCTGATCAGTGGAGGGTTTGACCACAAACTCATCGTGTGGAAGCCTGAATCTGTAGAGTAGAAATTTGTTGAGATGTATCAACATCATGCACGCGTATAGCAGATCTCCTAGACATAGAGAAACAAGAATGATATCCTCGATTGGACGGATAAATGTTGTTGTCATGCAAGGGGTCATTTGATGTCTGCACTCCAAACGCAAGCAGAGTTGCTCCTCGGACATGGGAAGCCCTCACGCATGCACTTGTCTTTTGAATGGCACGAGATCGATATTCGGTGTTCTCAAGTTTGTCTATATGCACGCTGAAAGTCCGATCGTCAATATGTTGTCACCATCTGCTTCATAGCATGATCGGCGAAGCAGGAGACACGGAACCACGACACCTCGAATGGCCTGTTGCAATTTCCTATGGCTGTTCCTCTACCCGGAGGTCAACATTGTCAGGAAGCCGTATTGAATCTAAAATCATTATTCAAATATCGTCTATCCAATCTAAACCCTATAAACTCCAAAAACAACCATGGTATCTAGAATAAAGTAAAACAACACACGCTCAATCCTATGCAGGTGATCGACATCATTGATCAACCCAGTACCCCGTTATCCTCCCTCTCAGCTCTTGCAAGCACAACTCTGTCAAAAGCAGCTTGCTCGAATCTGCCGAGCGCAGCCCAGAAATGTCTGCCAGCTTCGTGTACTCTGATCTTGTCGATGAGATCAGCGACCGTTTCCCTGACATCGAGTCTCGGGTGCATAAGCCCGAGTGCTAGATAGAACATGCCGTTCTGCCTGTCGTTCGTTACCGCGGAGCTGGCGTATGCGAAAACGGAAAGCAGCTGGTTGATCTGCTCGTATGTTTTCACCCTGGCACAGATGGCGAGGTAAACCGATGCAGATGCATCGCTGCCGAGTCGTAGTTTTGTCAATTTGTCGTGCAAGTGTTGAAGATCGAGATCTTGAACCGGACGCAACGCGAAAATAACGCTGAAGTCTTGGATGAAATTATAGTAACTACGAGTCTTTGTCCAGCCTTCAATACGTGTAGCGTTGGCAGCTAATTCACGCATCTTGGCTTCTTGTGATGGCCACACGTAGCCATGACCCGCGACAGCAGGATCCTCGAGTGCAGCATCCAATACTGTCATCGGTGAAGGAAAGTCCATAGTGGCCGTGGCTGGCGAGAGAGGCGATCCTGGGGGATAGTACGCGAAGATCGCTGAAGCGCCGTAAACAAGCTCTTCGAAGGATGCTACTATACGGATGAATTTGAGAATCCAGTTTCGGAACTTCGATCGGACCGCGCCTTCTCCCCGGCGTTCAGCGATTGCGGCGAGCACGCTGGACATGAATGCCACGTCGCCCGTAGGATCTCCAGACCCGGAGGGAATGGAAGGGAAGCCGCTCATGCCTGCACCCGTAGCTGTACCAGCTGCTGAAACAGCTCCCGGTGCGTTATGTGGTTGCGGAATCCCGCTCTGCTGGAAGAATAGTACGCCCTCTGTCAAGGGGGCTTGCTCAATCTTTGGGCTGATTTTGATGCGTCCTGTTGGCAGATCGCACATGACGTCCCACCACTGGGTATGAGTAGCAAAGGCTGGGTTTGTGACACCAGCAATAAAGCCTGGAACTTTGAGGAGATCATCGATTTTTGTAAGATCGGTGTATGGGAAGGCGTGGCGCGTGAAGCCTCTGAGGAAACCGCCAGAAGCGAGTGAACAAGCAGCCAATACAGCTTCTGCCACTTCGGATGAAGGCAAATTGTGGCCGATGAAGATAATGCGCTTTTGACTGAGCAATGCATTGAGAAGTACAATAATAGGATGTGTAAGAGGACCAGATGTGGTCAAATGTGGGTGGTGCTGAGTAAAAGGTTGAGGTGATGCCGAGTGCGGTGCGCTAAAAGTCTGAATGAGTTTGATGAGTGAAAAATCGCCGACAGTCTCGAGAGACAATGCAGTGGGTATCTTGATGGGAACAGGAATCTTGTTGTAATGTACGACGGTATCGAATTCGTGCGTATCTCGCGGTAAGCCGTATCGTTGACGGGGAGTCTGTTGTTGGAGCTGTCTCTCGTCTGATTGATCTTTGGCCTTGTCCTCCTGAATACGCTTGTGAACCATGGACTCGAATTTCTCGATGAACATATCCTTGACATCAGAAGCTTGCAGGATATAGCGCTCCTGGAAAGACAGTCGTGGAAGTAGCGAGAGGTCCATAGCGTTGACAGATTCATATAAGGAAGCCAGTGTCTCGATGGTCGGCGAACGAAAGTAATCCTCAAGTGCTAATAGAAGTAGTGGTTTGTATATGTGCAAGAACGAGTGTCTGGTACAAATGGCCATGGCTTTGACAACAGCACCACGCTTGACATTGGCATCGTGTTTGGTGTTGACAAGATTCAGTACATAGACCAGAGGTGTGCCTTGGGTACTCTTGACAGCGTCATCTTCTGATTCGGCATCTTCAGTATTATCATCTGAATCGTTGGCCAATTCTTGCTCGGTAAGGCCTTGATTGGATTCAGCTTCGGCTCGTTGTTTTTTCTTTTCGGCCCTCCTTTGTCTGCGTTGATCTCTTCTCTGCTGCAACTCGTCCTCAGGAGATTGATCCTTGTGTAGAAAGAAGACGGTCCAGTCCTGGCTACGCAAATGGGTCTGATCGGGCAACATCAGTTCTGCCAGCATGTGCTCATCGCCACCGATTGGAGCGGGGTACTGATGTTCCATGACAGAGCCAGTGTCAATGTCGAATGAGGCAACCAGAATGTACTCGACATGGCGCTCGGTAGAGTCCTGAGGGTATTGCGGGCGCGGTTTGCGTTTGCGACGAGGCATGGTCGGCGAGCGAACAGAGTGGGACAACGACGGTCGCATTGGAGGTCTGGCGGTGGCTGAGGGCATAACATCATAAGCAGACTGCTTGCGTGACGGGAATGAGGCCAGTGATGGGCGGCGCGCAGCCGTAGCACCCCCTGACATTGCGACGGCAGGAGCGATTGGTGTGGGTTGGCTGGTGCTACTGCTGTTTCGGCGGTGCAGTGCGATTGGCAAGGAAGGACCAGATTGTCGTGTGTTATCGCCGGGACTCCATGTGCTAAGTCGACCTTGGTCGTGCCTGCCTCGATGCCTCTTCAACTTCTTGAACTCCTTCTCCACAAAGCGCCCAAGGGTCCAACTGCAAGGCCGGGCGATCTGCAACGACGCACGGGCCCGGACCGATTGCTAGCTCGCGGAGCGGGTGAGAGCGGCGGTGCTTGGCGCTTGTTTGTTTGTTGAAGGTGCCCGCCTGACAACGGCCATGTTATCGCTACCTCATCGCCAAATACTCTTGTTTGGAGCCATTCTAGACATCGTATCGACAGTGATGGTCAGTACGATCCTGGTGCACAAATTTGATCATCGCATTGACAATTGCTAGGCGTCACCAACAAAGTTGTCGTTCAACTCGCCGCGCTCACCACGAGCATCACCCTTCCGCCGCCCCGATTCAGATGGTCTTCTTCGTTCTCCTTCGACAGTCCGCGATCGATCAGAGTCACCTACCAAGCCACTGTCACCATCTCTGTCGCCTGAGAAAACCAACCCTTTTGTGCGGCGACCTTCGCAGTTGACTACCGGCGATCGTCCAAGGAGTCCTTTCGCCCGTCCCACCAGCCGTCTTAGCATCCAAGAGTCCTCATCAAGGCCTACATCTTCTGGCTCTCTTGCTCCGCCAATTTCCTTCTCGCGACATGCTTCACACACCTCAGTAGAGGAGGAACGGTCCGCTCCTCCATCTCCTTCACCTGTCGTCCATGCTGTAGAGTCGTCACCTATGCCGGGAGATGGAGCAGTACCATCGTCTCCTCGTGTTCCTCCTTCACCATCGCCGCTCGTCTTACCAAGCTCGCCCGCTGTTGCACCCTCATCCCCCTTAGGTCCTCGTTCGCCCGTCCTATCCCCATCCGCGGACCGACCAGTACGACCGACCGCTCAGCGTACAGTCACATCATCTACTCAGGCTACTATCCGAGCACCTGTGTTTGGCAGACCTACCTCTCGCGATTCGACCACAAGCGCTGCTCCAAGACCGAGTTACACCGCTCCTTCGAGGCCAACTTTCTCAGTCCCTGTTCAGATGGCTACTGGCCAATACTCTCATCTCCCACAATCATTGCTACGAAGCATGCGCGAGTCTTTCGAAGTCTTGGACAGCTCTAATACTGGCACCATCACCTCTGCCAGTGTCGCCGATATGTTGCAGCAGATGGGCATGGACTCTTCACCCAAGGCTGTAGCAGCTTTCTTCCCTCCGAACACACCCTCTACAATCACACTGGGTCGTTTCCTAGACTTGCTATCTGCTCCACTAGCGGAGCTTAGTGAGCCATCCGAGCTTGCCGCCGCTTTTGCTGCTTTCGACGTGGATGACAGCGGTCAAATTGACAAGCACGAGCTAAGGGATGCTCTGCTCAACACGGCTCCAGAGCCAGGGGCTGAGAACGTGCGTTTGTCAGAGCATGAGATCGATGTCATTATGAACCAATTCTCGGCGAGGAGGGCATTTGGTGCCAAAGGCGTCTTCGGCAAGGAGCTGGCTGGCGGCGACAGGAAGAGAGGCGAAGTCTTCAGATATAGAGACTTTATATCGAACATCTCGGGTAGCGGAGGTGCTGACAGCGCTGAGCAGATTGCCGCATGATGACCACCGGCGGGCCTGGGTTACTATGATTTTCTCTATTACTGTCGTTGATATCCTTGAGGTGTTTTGGAACAGGTGGGCGTGGGTTCGGGAATATATGATTTACAGAGCGCTTTTCTCGTCTTACTGTGCAGTCCGTTCATATTACAACGTCTTTTGTTGGATCTGTGTAAATTACAACAACATGACATTCTGACCTCTGCTGCAGTCTTCTCTGATACACAAGATCAGAGTTAATCAGACAGATTTCATGTCAATCTTCTACGATCCATCATTGAGTTTGTGTCTTCTTAGGGGACAATATACAAGCGCCTTGACACCTTGCTAGACATGGTATGGCCATGCAATCGAATGATGATTCCTCCCGCAAAGTTTTCAGCGTCCCACTCTTACCCTCATTACATCGATCCGGCATTGATGGTCTCATCTTTTCTGCTGCCTTCCCATCATAGCCGTAACTCCGTTGCTCACAAACGTTGCATGGCACCGTCCACATACAAGGACCTCGCACCACAAGCAGGTCATGAAATCATCGCCAGGTGGTTCGTATCCATCGCATATGGCACAAGCGACAGGATGCTTGTAGTTGGAGCCCATGCGCTGCCAGAGATCGTGGTCACGATAACATGTTTTCTGCGAGGTGCGTAGGGGTAGTGCGTGAGCGACATGCTCTTGAGGAGCATCTTTGAAGGGACGGCTGAAGGTGGATTGCGATTTACGACTGGGCAACGAGTTTGACTGATCAGGCTTCAAGTTCGTTTTGTCCGACAGGGGCAGAGAAGGCGAACTGCGAGCGAACGCTTGTGTAGGGTTTGTGGCACCCGATTTCGCTTGGTCGACTGGCAGGGTCAAGGTTGCGGACCTTTGCTGAGCAGTAGCATGCTTTGAGTGAGTCAGTCGAGGCGCCTGAGAACAAGAGAGATGAATGAATTCATCACATACCACGAACAATCCAGCACCGCTCATCTTCGGTCGTTGAGTTGCTACCATGGCACGATCGGGAGAGGGAGAATGGGTGACGCGTAAGCCATACTTAGTAGGACTGTCTTCAGTCAAAAATGGAGGCGTAGGAAGTTGAATGTGAGCTGTTTTGGGAGAGTGGGGTGGTACAGGAGTACTCATGCCACTTTGTTCGTCGTTTGCACCAAAGACGATAGCTGTTTCCAAAGGTGAAGTTACGCGCGTAGCTGTTCTTGTCGAGCTAGCGTCCGATTGGAAGCTGTCATCTTTGGGAACTTCAAAGCGGTTCGAGTGGACAGAATCGCTGAGTGTCTTGACGGTGGATTGGGAGTCGGAGCGGCGTGCAAGAGATATTCTGGTATAATCTGCTTCTGACTCGGAGACTTCGATGGTCGTCGAATCCACACTGGCAGAAGGCTGAGTTACCGTTGAATTGCGCACGGCAGTGGACGCAGAAGGAGTGCGATTGCGTTTGAGAAGATTGATTGACGATGACCGTGGCCTCAATTTTCTGTGAGGCGCCTCATTGGTGGTCGAGGCAGCCTTAGACGGCACACCTCCCATGACTGTCTTCTGCTGAGCAGCGACAGACTCTGACGCTGAAGTCAGTTGACTTGATGGCCCACGTCGAAAGCTGCGATGGGCGAAAAGAGCAAAGGGCGCCATGTCGAGAGATGGTTCGGGACAAGACTGCCAGGAAGCCGTTGGGTGGTGATTCCTTCCCTCTGACACAGACACGCGTGGAAACCACGCAAGTCGTTTGCAGCCAAGCTCATGATAGGGAAGGAAGTAAGCAATCTGGCTTGGATCGCCCTTGCATCCCGACTAAAACGACAATGACTGCAGGGTCCAGCAAACAACAATTCACCAACGCAAAAACCCGGGAGATGGCAAAGAAGAGCGAGAAAGGTCGAGACACCAAGCGTATTCGAGAAAGGACAATCTGCAGACAGGTGGTCAGCCGTGCAAGCGTCGGCGGAGGTGCACAAAGCAATGCTCTCCAGGAAGTTGCTGGCCCCCCACTCTCTGATCGACGCGCGGCTACACACGGCATGCACCTAGCTGCTAGGATGCGGTTGACGTCTCGTCAGCAATTCGGTCACTAAGTCGATGGTTCAGCAACGACTAAGGTACTAGACGACCTGGATTACAGCACCACATGGACGACTTAGAAGAAACCAGGTCGGCGAGCAGCAGGCTGAGGCTCAGAAGCGGGCACCTGTGTGACCATCTTGGGACTCTCAGCTGCCGGTGCTTGTTGAGTTTGAGCTTGAGCTTGAGCTCCATCCTGTTGCTGTGCCTGTGAGCCACCCTTCTTCTTCCACAGAATGTTGTCCGACTCGAGTTCTTGCATGACCTCTTCCCATTCCTTCTCCTTTTCCGGGTCGCCGGTGCCCAGGATGCGTTCCACATCGACATCTTCTCCACGGTGTACACGGTCGATCGTCTCCCTAAGGAGAGCAATCTTTGCTTCTGTTTTGCGTGTGAAACCTTGACGTTCGTTCCTCAGTGCAATCATCTGAATGGCGTTGGAGCCGATCAGGAGCGCGATGACGATGAAGAAGGTAGCAGGGTTCCAATCCTTGGACTTCATTGCTTGGGCCTTCTTGCGCTCGGCGACAGAGACGGGGTCATCGGGTTTTCTGAAGGCCTTGGGAATGACTGATTGCCAGACTGAAGCTACACGAGGTACTGAGGTAGGTGTCGAAGCATGGCTGGCCGAGTAAGAGAAGGGGCGGCGGCCGAGCGCCTGGCGTACGGGAGCGATGACAATGCGCATGTTGCTGCTTGTATGAGTGTTGTCCGGGATTGTTTGGTCGAATGCAATTATTTCACACTTGGCCGGCTTCGAGACTCCAACGCTCCGAGCAGTTAGGGCACAGCTCAGACGCTCGGTAACGCCGGGCCGAAGCGGTTGCTGCAGAGACAGGGCCTGGAAAAGCCATGTCGATGTTTCTTTATCGATTTGCCTGGATCAATATCAAGGCTGAAAGTTGCTGCTCGTGCGCTGAACTACAATGATGGTATACTAACATGCAGCGACAATCCTCTCAAGAATGCCTTCTATGACAAGCCCGGCTGAGGTGGTGCGCAAAGCCATAGCGACACCATCTTCATGCTCGCCAACCACTACCACTACACTGCAGGCTCTTCTGGCTTCCTCTCAAGATGCGCACCCGAAGCCTCCGAAGACGCCGGCAAGGACAACATCCACTCGCAAACCGCCAGCCACGAGGACAGCGAGGACCAAGGCAGCCCCTGCTGCGCCCGCCGATGCGACCCCCACCTTGACTGCCCAAGAGCGATACAAACTAGCCACAGATGTCGTCAATCTGGCGCTGAAGGTCCTGACCGATGCGACAAAGACGTCCACACCTTCGCCCTCACCCACACCTTCCACCAAGAAGCCTCTCTCGTCTGGCTTGAGCGCAGTCGCTGAGTGCGCCCGCATCGCCTTCTCACATCTTCGTTCTGCACGTCCGTCGGGAGATGCGTCCCTGCAGCTGGAGACAGGCATGCTTGCCCTGTCCTCGAAAATGATCGCCCTGGGAATGGATACACTGGCGATGAAAGAGCTGCGCATACTCAAGACGTGTATACATCGAAAATCAGAAGGAGTCAGCCCAGATCCCCCAACGGAGAAGGAAACTCTCGCTACACTTTTACACCTCGAATGTCGCACGTCGGATGTCAAGGTCTTGTCGCTGGCTGTCTCATACCATCTGAACGTCCTGAGACTCGTTGCCAATTCCGGGCGACCTGCCACCATTGAGGCTTCATTACCCCATCTCTTGCTAGACAATCCTATCTCTGCCGCCTCGCTCATGCTACGGTCTATCGATTTGTCCGAAGACAAGAACAAATTGGCAAGACAGATGGACACCCTCTCGAAACTTGTCTTGTCAATGTGTCCATCACATTCGACCTCGATGGACCGTGTTGCTAGAGATGTCAAAACACACGCTTCTCCAGATGTCGTATTCGAGCTTCAAACCATCGCACTTCTTCTCCAGACGAAATGGTGGCCAATAGCTGGGCACAGAGCCAATTTGCAGAAAGAGATCTATGAACCGCTGAGTCGATTCTTGGACGCGTACAAAAGGCGCGCTGAGAACAGAGGACAGCAGGCTTACAGAAAGGCCATTGATTGTGTGAGCACTCTTATCGAGCTAGAGAAACCCAACAGTGCTACTCCACCTCTGCCCTCAACTCTTTACAAGGTACTGAGTGCATTCGCCGAAGCTTTCGGTATGCACGATGAAGCCTTGCGATACACCGACTTCATGTCGTCAACGACGGACAATGTTTCCGGACCCAACATGACATTACTCTGTACAATTCGAGCCATGGCACTTTGCTTTGATTGTGATCGTGATCCCGATCTGGCAACACTACAGCGTCAAGTCTCTTCTTGCAAGTCGCAAATGGGGAAAGATCCTAGATTTTCTACAGTGTCAATTGACGAAACGCTGGTAGAGCTTTCCAAACTGCGCAAGATAGCAATCAAGCTTTTGACGCACGATACGGAAACAGGGACTGAGTCTGGGATTGAGGAACGTGCCCTTATGCTGTGTACAATCAGCTTCCTGTGCACTGACATTCTTCTCCGGTGCTTGCACGATATTTCTAGTGGCACGGAACCTGCAAGTGTGGCTCCAAAACTGATCGTTCCTTTCGTCAGCTCAGCTATCTTCTGTTGCAAATTACTGGTTTCATCCTGCGACCATGTCGAGGCTATCTGCAACGCTCTTGAAACATGCACACGTCTGTTGGATATCAATTCAGACTCTGAAGCGGAACATCTAGTGGTCAATATCTCTAATTTGTATTGGCGCTGCTTCCAACTTTTAGCTTCCAAGACGGGAGAGTCATCGTCAGAGGCCATTTCTTGTCTTCAAGCATCCATTGACATTCTACATGAACGCGCATCCATCCACCAGGAAGCTGGTTTCTTAGCAGCGAAACTAGAGAAGTTCGGCAGCATAGCCAAGTCGTGCTCCATCTTGGCTGAAGCCATTAGAGTTCAGCTTCGCTCTGGTGTCTTGCATGATATGGCACAGATCGCAGATTCCAGACCACTTTCTATCGTTCTACAATCGGATCGGAAAACACAATTGTTAAGCCGCAACCTCCACGAGTATCACACATCTGCAGCCAAAGATTCTGCGAGTGTCGCCTTCTTCGATGATGACTCCTTGAAGTTGTCGGAACGAGCGACTTTGCTCGAGATTCAGCTAGCTTTCTTCGAAGAAGATTTGTTCAAGCCATCACACCGTAAAAGAGTAGCAGCGGATATGCAATGTCTGTCCACCAAACTCCTCGGGTTGTACGACAAAGATAGCTTCCCGCTCCGGAGAGGACGTGTTTGCGCCCGGCTTCTCAGATTCTCGAACGAGTTTCCGGATCTCGTCGATGACGAGACGAAGGAGGCCATGATGGCTAGCAAAATTCTGCACAGCTCACTCAACAAAGATGATGGTCTCAAGACATTTGCAACCTATTTGGACATATCCCTCTCGCTGGCTCAAGCATTTCAAGCAAAAGAAACCTCCATTGAGGATATCAAGACAGCAATACAGAGATTGTCATCTCTGCTGAAGCAATTGAGTACGTGGGACTCGATCTCGGAAGAAGTTGATGATGTGGATACCTTGACATCGGAGCTGCACTTCGTAGTCTCCTTCTTGGCAATGAAGGGTCAAGACAGTTCGCGCCTCGAGACACTCGAATTGCTCTCCCATCTTCAACATCTGAGACCTTCGTTGGAGCCATCACCTGTCTTGAGTACTGCAGCGCAACTTGCTCTGCAATACATGAGTCTGGGCTATTCATCTGAGGCATGTCGCATTCTCGAACAAGACGCACCTCTTCTGGCACAGCCCAATGTTTCAACTCTTGCAAAGCTTGAATGGCATGTTGCCCAGGCAGAAATCTGGACAACACTAGGACAAGCCGGCCCTGCGGCCAAATCGATGGCATCTGCAATCGAGTGTATGCATTCATTCCCAAAAGTGGACCACGCAACGAAAGCCCATGCGCAGATTGTACGAGCACGATTTGCCTTCGTATCTTCGTTGTATGCAAGAAGCATAGGACAAGTGAAGCAAGCCATGGTTCATGCAAAACGCTATGTACTGTCATGCCAGCAGACATTGACCTTCTTAGAACTTCAACATGCTCCTCGACTTGATACCTCAGGCTCAACTACCTCACAAGAAGAGCTCGCCAATGCGGTGGACAAGCTGAACATCTCCGAGTCTGGCCGAGCATCACAGCCAGAGCCAGACCACACTATGAACCAAGGCGCTGCACTCTCTTCTATCGTTCCAGATCTACTCAACAGCTTTCTGCATCTTGCAGAAACTTATGCGCATCAGGGATTACGAACTGAAGCTTCCTATTATCTGGACCAGGCAGATGTCTTGGTAACTCGAGTTGGAGCGCCCGAATTGCGTACCAAGATTTTAGTCCAGCGCGAAGCTCAGGCGTACATTGAAGGCATCGAGATCAACAGCCAAGTCGACGACAGTCATCTTGTGGATTCCATTGATTTGGTAAAGTTGGGCATCACACGGGGAGACATCTTTGCAGCAGAAGAAGAAAATTGGGAGAGAGCACAGCAGGAGTATGAGAAGGCTGAATCTATGGCTGCTCGGCTTGCAAGCAAGCGCTTCATCGAGAAGCCTGGAGCTCCAAGACTCCAGCTCGACAAGAGCCGAGTGCTCAAAGCTGCTCCTGTTCCAAATGGCAAGCGCGCTGTAGCCAAAACTGCTGCGTCCAAAGTACCACCTGCAAAGACGCCCAAGAAAGCAAATACGAAGGCTAAAACCCCCACTGCCACGACTGCCCCCAACCAGGAGAACGTTCCAATATCTAGCCTGTGCTCAGCGACGCTTAGACAACGCGGCCTCCTGTTGATCAATCAGGGCGAGACTGACCTTGGCCTGGAGCTCTTGGAGCGAGCCGAATGCATGAAGTGCGACTCGACTCAAGAAGTCCTGCAGCAACTGGCAATGGCAGAAGGGCTACTGCGTAAGTTCGGAGACGAATTGAGTCTGGATTTCACGTTCAATGTCTTGCCTGAGTCGACCATATCTTTTCCTGCGCTGTCTACCACTGTCAGCAGAAAGCCCACGACACAAGCATCACTCTCGTCAACGCCAATGTCCCTTGCCAACTCCACTACTCCAAAAAAGACCAGCCGGCAGAAGCGTGCTGATGATGAATTTGCTCGCTTCCTCTGTGAAGCACAGGACCGTCTTTCAAACATACAGCGCCGGTGTGCAAGCACCGCTGGCATGTCCGTGTTCCACCAGCTATGCGGCTTGGGCTCGAAGGCTATGTTGCTACTCTCAGCTCTTAATGCCAACATACCCCTCTCGGGATCGTTGCATCCTACACGTGCGGCTTGCTCTATCGAAATGTCTCGCATCGAGGCGTTCTCTCGAGAATTAGACACCGTAGAGGCCGAGAAAGAGTATCATAGCCACGAATCTATAGAACAGCTGATTACTCATGGCTCCAGTAGTCATCTTTCGGCGGCAAAGTTCCAGAAAGAATACATCGACATCATTCCCAATAGCTGGACTGCGGTGTCCGTGACACTGAGCGAGGATCAAAACGAGCTTTACCTTGTGCGATACCGAGCAAACCATGCACCTTTCTTACTGCGTCTACCGATGACGCGTAACAAGATGCAGGATATCGAAGATGATGAGGAGTCCCCGACATTCGATTTCGAGTCTGGCAAGGCTGAATTGCAGGAGATTATTGAGCTCTCAAACTACAGCTGCAGCAAGCCTCCTCAATCCATGACGCAAGAAGCCAAGCAGAGCTGGTGGGATGAGCGAGAAGCGCTGGATCTTCGCATGCAAGAATTAATTGTCAATATTGAAAACATCTGGCTTGGTGGTTTCAAGGGTGTGTTGTCCCAGAACCGCAAAGACCCAGAATTGTTGGCTCGGTTCAGGAAGTCACTGGATGGAATATTGGACCGTCACCTCCCTTCCAGACAAGGCACGAAAAGCAAGGCCAAGAAGCTCGTTCTTGACTCCAACATCGTCGAATTGTTCATCGGTCTTGGAGACGACCATGATGGTGAGATTGATATGGACGAGCAAGTGCTCGACCTTCTTTACTTCGTCATCGACATTCTCCAGTTCAATGGCGAGCGCAACGCGTATGATGAAGTTGACTTTGATGTCATGGCTACCGAGACTATGGATGCTCTGAGGTCTTACCATGAAGCAGCCAACTCGAACGAATCCGATCAAAATCACCTGATACTCATCCTTGACAGAAAGCTACACGGCTTTCCTTGGGAGAGTTTACCCTGTCTCCAGAACGTCAGTGTGAGCAGAGTCGGTAGCATGCTTACGCTTCGTGAACGTATCCTCGCCATGCGTCGTCAGATGAAGGACAACACCGAAGAAAAATACTTCGTCAACAAGCAGTCCGGAACGTTCATTCTCAACCCGTCAGGAGATCTGTCTAGGACACAGACTACCATGTCGCCATTGCTCGACTCTCTATCAAAGTCCTCAGGCTCATCTTGGCAATCAACCATCAACAAGTCTCCCGCAGAAAGAGATTTCGCGACAGCACTATCAGACAGAAGCATGCTCCTATACTTTGGTCATGGCAGCGGCAATCAATACATTCGTAACCGCACCATCAAGAAGCTCGACAAATGCGCCGAGGTGGTGTGGCTGATGGGCTGTTCCAGCGGCACAGTAACAGAACATGGCGACTATGAGCCCACAAGTGTGCCGCTCAGCTACCTCGTCGCGGGTAAAAGAAAGAACGACATCAGTATTTCAGATGAGGAAACCAAGACCCTGCGCAACGACAACAGAGAAGGTCTTTGCATGGCTGTGGTTGCAACACTCTGGGATGTCACGGACAAGGACATCGATCGATTTGCCGTCAAGACAGGCGAGCATTGGGGTCTATGGTCTTCTGCACCTGCACCTTCCCCGATGGAGCTCGCACCCCCCAAGACGCCACGCAAAAGAGGGAGATCAGTACCCAAGACACCCTCCAAGACGCCATCACGCACACCAGGTGGGAGAAGTAGAAGTCGTCTTGTGATGAGAGACGAAGAAGAGACCAGAAAAAAGAGTCTCGTTGAAGCAGTGATGCTGAGCAGAGATGCTTGTAACTTAAGGTATTTGAACGGCGCAGCGACGGTTGTATATGGAGTTCCTGTATACCTTGGCGATTATTAGCGTGAACATAGCATCGGATTGCATGGCGTTTTGGCGTGCTTGGGAAACATGTATATATATATTGTCTCTACTAGCAACATGAAGCTTCAGCTTTGTTTATGACTTTCATCTTCAGAGTTCCTATGTTCAGCGATACGAAGAGAGAAAAAATTAGGCCATGGACAGCAAAATGTATCGACAAACAGAGAACACCGTGAGCAGGGACCGAATCTGCGACCTCCCGATCCTAACGAACGTGTTTAGAACGAATGAACGACCAATCAAATGAGTGACTCAGAGTCGGGTGTGCTACCGCCATGACCACCACGGCTTTTTTTGCTTGGTGAAAGAGAACTGAATAATCTCGTATATAAAATTGGTGATGGGAGGCGAGCTTGGATGAGGTAGTTTCGTGTCAAACGGCACCAGCATGAGATCGTTCATCTAGGGGACTTTGACTAACCGCATGATTTGAGAATCACATCAACGGAGAGAGGTTTTTCGGTGAGAGAAAGACAGGGTCGAAGAGCAGAGACGAGGTGTGGACACAAGCGATTGCTGGAAGGCAAAAAGGTGAGAAGATGCTATCTCCTGAGGGTTTCAAACATATCCGATCATTGTAGCTTTTGAGTATCGAAGGAACGATGAAGCATGCATGCCGGACAAAGACGGAAAAATTTAATGTGGCTTCTTGATTGAATGAGGTGTATTTAGTATTTACATTCGCATCTCCGCCTGTAAGTCAAGCAAGTTGAAACAATATTCAATCATCACCTACGTAGTTATCATAGCCCTAGCCTGACAGTCTGTAGCCCCTGGGCTTCGACATGCCCTCGCTGACGAGCCATTGATGAAAATGGAGATGCATGTTCATCGAGATGCCTTCGTGGTGTGTGTGCATGACTTTGGCACGGCAAGTGCGACACAGCCTCCACCATTGCCGTGATATTTTGCCAGTTATGGACTCAAGCAGAACTCATGTCATCTTGAGAGCGACCTGATACAAAATTATCAACCGAGCTGGGCTCTGTATGGTTGCTTATGATAATGTTGCGCGCTACTGCCTTTTGAGGTGTTGGTAGAGGTAGTCTGTGAGACGTGGCGGACGGATACTTTCGAGGTGCTGTTAAACGTTAAGGACTGGATTGGATAGAGCATCATCATCGGGGTCTCCGGAGTCAGTCGATCATAGCCATGAGTACTTTTCTCTTGAAATGAACCACTCATCGGGTGTGCAAGAAATGTTGCAATCCAGCAAGCAACAAGCAAATTTGTGATGAAATGCAAATACTAATGGTCCTTCCGAAGAGAAAGTCGGACCTTACATGCGTCTGGGGGCAGGCATGTTCTTCTTCTCCTTTTGCGAGACCTTCTTTCTGCGTCTCTCGATGAGTCTTTCTCTGTCCTTGGACTTCATGCTGTCGAACTTGTTGACCAAGGCCTGCTTCTTCTGTTCCGACTTCTTCAGGTAGAAGGGGTTCTTGCCCTGTGCGATGGCTTCCTTCTCCTTCTTGCGGTGCTCGCGTATTACTTCCTGTTCTCTTTCTTTGTTCTCGCGTGCCTTCTTCTTGCTCTCCATGCTAAGCAATTTGCGCTTGAGCACTGCCTTGTCGTCTTCGTTCTTGGATTTCTTGATGGCAGCCTTAAGCTCGGCCATTTCTGAATCCTGGTATTCGTTGATGAAAGAGTACTTCTTTGCCAGGGCGGCATCGTCTACAGGGCGGCCTAATGGGCCGAAACGAGGATCACGGACTTGTCGCTTGGGCACATCAATGACCTGGCGTTTGCGGGTGACTTGTCTGTTGGATGCTTGTGCCATGGGGGCGTGTTTAGAGCTACGGGCTTGGGGAGGACCATCGTCGTCCGAGTCGCTATCGCTGGCATCTGAAGCGCTATCGTCGCTGGCGTCCTTTGTTGTCCGTGACTTCTTTGCAGCGGGTTTGGTGGTAGATTTGACTGCTTCTTTCTTGTTCTTCTTGGGAGCAGGATCAACGCCTTTAGATTCTCTCAATTCTCGTAGACGGGCGCGGAGAGCCTCTAGCTTGTCCTCTTTCTCGTCATCGTCATCTGAAGCTCTCTTGCGCTTCTTGGATATAGACTCCTGCGCTCTCGATAATGTTCCGAACGAGATGTTGTTCAGCTTGTCCTTCACATCTTCGTCTGCATCGTCATCGGAAGAGCTCAGAATGTCAACTTCATCGCCGCCAGTCTCGATGATGGATGCAGATGAATCGTCTCCCGAGTACTCTTCGTAGCCATCTTCGTCGTCGGAGACATCGGCGCGCGATTTGACGGGTTTCCCGAGCGGTAGAGGCATGGTGTTTGAAATGTCGAATGACTTTTGAAACCGAGAATTTCTGGCCGAAATGCGCCTGCGCTTGTCGGACAACGCTCGGTGCCAAGCTTTTGATGTTTTATCGCCGTGCTCGTTCATGCACCGATCCTCTCGCACAGATCTCGCGCGATCATCCGGAGTCAACGGATCAATCAATCAATCAATCATTCATCATGTAACCTACTGTCCTCGGATGGAAATACTGCTTGGTGAGGTCGAGTCTTGTGATTGGAAGTTGGAGTTAGGAATGCGCCGGCTTTAAATCGAGCATTGTTCGGCGGTGTCAACGACAACAAGGTGTTCGGCAGGCACGGCTGAGGCTTCTAACCGGGGTTCTTCACGCATCGGGGCTGTTTTTAGAGTTCGATTCTTGACAGGCAGCTCGGAGCTCGCAAACACCGCGGTGTCTGCTCTCCCACTGGCAAGCTAAAAGTGGCGTGTACGTCAGAGTGATATCGGCGAGATACGGACTTACGCCCTTATTAATTATTTTGTTGTTGCACATCTTGACCTCACTCATCGTCGTCGTCATACATCAAAACACCTTCGAGTCCCTCGTCGCTCGTCAATCGCATCCCACTTTCCCATCTGAACCACTTACTTAGCACATCATGAAGATTCTCACAAAGGAAGAAGAGCAGGAGCACTACAAGTAAGTCGCCCATTTCGTGCTCGCTCGCATGCGACCCCCACTGACAACCCCTTCAGCGCTACCGTCTATGGAGGTACCATTGGTGGTCTGCTCGGTCTGGGAGCCGGTGCTGTCGGTGTCCTGGGAGCCAGCAGAAGATACCCTGCTTTCCGTGGCTTGTCCCTGCCATTCCGCGCCTTCCTGATCACCTCCGCTGGTACTTTCGCCGCCATTATTAGTGCCGATCGCTACTCGCGCAGTTATGAGGCTTCTCGCCATCCTGAGAAGGAATACACCGACAACCAGCAGACCCTGCAAGAACAGCTCGAATCCCAAAAGCCTTTCTCCCAGCGTGCAATGGACTGGGGTAACCAGAACCGTTACAGCATCGTTTTCGGTTCATGGGTTGCCTCAATCACTGCTGCTTTCGGCATTGTCGGCCGCAACCCCTACCTTACTGGTCAACAGAAGCTTGTCCAGGCTCGTGTCTACGCTCAGGGTTTGACTCTTGCTGTCGTTATTGCCAGTTTGGCTCTCGAGGCCAAGGACAAGAACCAGGGTCAAGGTCGCTGGGAGACCGTCAAGGTTCTGGATCCCAATGACCCTACCCACAAGCACGTCATTGAGAAGAAGATCCACCACGAGCGTTACTCTGGTGAAGACCAATGGATGGGTAAGCTAAATCAATCCTTTTGAAGCTGAAATGTGAAATTGACTTTATTCAGACATGGTCGCTGCCGAGGAGGAGCGCATTAAGGAGCGCGAAGCCGCCGTCAAGCAAAGAGAGTCCGCCGACGAGAAGAAGGGCAAGCACGTCAAGAAGCACGAGGACCTCGAGCATGGCGAGAACAAGTCCAACGTCAGGGCACCTTAAGTTTTCCGGTCACACGACATGAAACTTGTTCCCTCAAAAGTAAAGACCGCCATACGAAAAATTCACTAGGCTTTGCGGAAGCCTACTGGCATAGATTCGGAGTTGGAAGAAACGGGACGGGGCTGCAGGGCGGCCTCGTCGACATAATTAACGACCCCTTCGGATGTGCAATCACTTGGATTGATAGTAGTGGCTGTAAGATAGAGTTATTTCATGCGAGCACGATTTACAATTTTTGACAACACCTGAAACCTCGCTCTTGCTCTCATGACTATGTGATCCTCGACCAAATCGCAAGCTACTGTCGGACTTCTGGTTGTATCTTTGAGGATGCTGTCTCGAAAAAGTGCAGTCATGAAAGGTGGACCTAGGTGACCACACCGAATCCTTTTCATCAAGGTATTGTGTCGATGAAACCCCGGTTGAGGTTCGGCTAGATTTTAAGGTATTATTGTAAAGGTAAGCATTGCCGAAAACCGTAACGCGTTTTATTCGTTCATTTACAGCATAAGTATGCTCCAAAAGGTACTCCAAGACTCGAGCATCAGCAAGATTCGCTGATGCCGCCCAATTCGTAGACTCCTCTGGCAAAGCGTTGAAATGAAACAAGACATTAAGAGGCCGTAAAAGTATGAGCCGTACCAAAAAAGACAAATCAACAACATCATGACATCAATACCATCCAGTCATAAAGTGTTTCGTGGGAAACAGACAAAAGAGATGTAATAGAAAGTCGAAACGCGAAATGAGACGATGAGGGAATGAGATGTGCCTGAAATGAAGTCGGTGGTCGTGTCATTAAGAGGATCAAGGCTTGACATAGCTCTTCGTGTGTGTTGTGGTAAAGGTTTTGGAGCGCGGGAGTAAGGGCTAAGTAGGTGCTATCGGTATGTTGCTGGGTCATTCCTGGGTGAGCCTTCTTGTCGTCTGGCACTCCCTTCTCCTGGGGGCTCCTCAGGGGATAGTATGTTCGGATATCGTGATGGTCCAGGATAACTAGGTCCAGGAGCGGCTTCATGTGGCTCGCTATACTGTTGCTGCGGCCGTAGCGTCCCCACGTCGATACTAGAGGGACGACCTCGCTTTTTCTTGCTAGTTGAGGTCTCGGATTCTTCTGCGCTGTGAGGCTCGTCGCGAATTTGGGGTAGCATAGCAGCTTGGGCAGCATGTGCTGCGGCGGATAAAGGACCTGGTGCGACAGCACTGCTGCTGCTGCCACTTGCAAGTGGGGGTACGCGTCGAGAGGGAGGCAGCAATGGCTGTCCATGCAAGAGCTCCTGCTGGCTTCTAGCGGCCTTCTCTGCATTCGTAGGTCTGCCGCGCTTCTTCTTCGGCGGCTCAGGTGGTTGATTGAGTATGTTCCCGATGGTAGACATAGGTGGCTTGGGCACAAGCAGACGGCCACCTGCAAAGGAAGGTTGATCCGGACTAAACGGACGTTTCAGAGAGGACGCTTGAATGGGTCCTTGGAGACTCTGCGATCTGATATGGCCATGGCCATGGCCCGAAGCGGGTCCAGAAGGGCCAGGTTGATTCACGACATTGTAAAACCAGTTGCTGCATTGATTGACCGTCCGTCCTAGAGGAGCAAGTCAGTCGACGAGCCGCGTTGGCGTAAGCGCGAGATACCTACCCCTTGGGAGCGCCACATCACCCCAATCGGGGACGATGCCGTTCTGTCGTATAAAGTGGATGACCACGTCTGGAGGGATATTGCTGGACTTGATGATCTCGGCCAGAATCTCAAGTTGCTCGTGCGCGTTGAAGCTCACGTCCCGAGGGTTCATTCTGTAACGAGCCGGAGAAGTAACGAGGAAGAAGAGAAGAAGGCGAACATGTATTACAAAGAAATAGGGCCAAGTCTCAGCTATGAGAAAGGAAACGAGTGCAGCTGGTGAAACGAGAGTGCGTCAGTCAGACGACGAAACCAAAAACACTACCTGCCTTGAACGGAAAGCATAGAGAAGGACAAGAGAAAATTCCCACGAAGCGCAAAGAAGGAAAGGCTTGAATGCAATCATTCAGCATGGAAGTGGAAGAAAAAAAGCCGCGAGCATGGAGCCAGAGTGGAGAATGGGGTCCGTCAAGGCTCAAGAGAGGGCTGGGATCTCGGTTCTAAAGGGCGAGGTTGATGCATGCAGGTACTGCAGCCTAGGCGCGCATCTCCCTGCAAGATGGATGTCATGCTTCACCAAGGCCAGACGATGCCGCCAATCTGGGTTGCGTGAGCGTGATATCGCACTCTGATATACAGTTCCCGACTTCTTTCTTGTTCTGCTGTAAATATTTCTACCCCACTGCCTCAAGTGAGCTACTGTTCTTGATCGAACATGCATGGGAGGACACGACCCGCAAGGCTGGGATTGAGTTGACTTTTTTTCGGCTTCCATAAGAATCCCGCACTCTTGGTATGGGCCCGCTCCTCCCGGTACACGGCAACCCAACATGAAACGCTCGGCAGGTTCGTTCTGTCGTTCTTGGTTTGATCGTTCAAAATCAGCCTTGGCTTCACGATTTGGCGCATCTCACAAACTATTAGAACTGTGTGGGGTGTTGTCTCTTGCCCAGCAGGCACGGTCGCTCGTGACGTTGCAACTTTACAAGACGTCTGGTCCATGAAAGTAGTCGACAGGTCTCTGGACGAGCACACGACAGTGAATTTACTTTGTTTGCAAAGCGAGGCCCACGGGTCATTGTTTGTTGTGCAAAACTAGGCGGGTTCTCCATCCAAATACCTTTGCGCTAACGCAATGACCTCGTCAGTTCTTACATGAAGGCCGCGCAGTTACAAAGAGCAACCGATTCTCAGAGCATTGTCCTTTTGTCGATTCATTGGTCCTCAAGCGCGGGTCACTCATAATTGCAGAGAGACGGCTCCTTGCTCTGCCCCGGCTTGTCGGGACCAGGAACCCTGGGTGCACTACGAGGTCGAAATTTCCGTGTCGTATCAGGAGCCTGCATTGCATCGAAACAGATGCAAGTGCGCGCCTGGCGGATGAGGTTCTTTGCAGAAGAATTCAACCAAGGTTCCTCAACAGTCTTGCATCCATCTCGCGTCGGCTCACCTTGCACTTGTACTCGAGCAGTCTCGACAAGCACTCGGATCCGCCTAAACTCTAACTTCTAGGTACTGCTTGTGCAATATGACTGCATGCGGTACCTGTGCAAGAATATATTCCTCAACGCGACAAATCAATCTTATCACCAAAGAGATGGCCAAGAACTTTCGCGACTGACGAACGGCGCTGCATCTCATGGTGCTAATCCACTGCTAGGCTTATCGAATTCATTCAGATACGGCCTCTACTGGTTCTGAGCAATATTTTCTATCAGTGACGAGTCTTGAACGTATAGTAGACACAAGTAAGTCAGGGTCACAGCTTTCACAAGGAGGATCGATCATGTTATTGCGAAGCCGGAGTAAGCCATTGCTTGGCGGATTTAGTATATAACCGTGCCGTGCGCCAGTAGTCTAAAAAATCAAGTTCCTTTAGCAATTACATCTAGTAGCTAAGCTCTAGAAGGCCTCCACGGCCTAGGGTGCCCTTTATAGCCCTTAAAAGGTAGACTTATAACTATCTTAACCCTACATAACGCTAGCATCGCTATTATACTCCTTATTAGTTAACTTATAGGAGTTACAAGGATATAATGTAGTTATAAGAGTAAGCTAACATTAGCTTTCCTTAGTCCGTAACTATACTTTTCTTATAATTAGCTATAACTCCTACAACTTTAAGGATAAGAGTAATAAGGCATTTATCTTTAAGCTAAGCTTATAGCTTTCTATTCTACTAAAGATAAACATGCGTCTATAAGGAGTTATAAGATAGATCTAAGTAGTCTTTCTAGCTAGAGGAACTCTAATTAATATAAAAAGGATATCCCTTCTTATAAGAGGACTAGATAGCATAGTACTACTAACATAGTACTTTAGCCTCTTTAAAACTTCTTTATACCCCCTACTTATATAACTCTCTTACATTCTAATAGAACCCGATCTCTACTACGACCCCATAACTAGCTACGCCTAGCTAGAGGGATCTATAACTAGCTATTAACCGGTTAGAGGACCTATAACTAGGCCGTAATAAGCCGGTTAAGAGCCTCGAGACCCTTTATCGATAACCTATAAAGAACTACTCGAGATCCTCTACCGTATAGAGTAGAACCGCCTAAACTAAGAGGCTAAGTATGCAGAATACTAGGCAAGGAACTAACCTAATCTATAATAGCCCCTATAATAGGCGCCTCTACCTCCTCTATAGCTAGAGCTAATGTAATAAGATACTCCTCCTACTTCTAGCTTTATAACTACTACTAGAGAGTATAAGTATTATCTAAAAGTACCTATTTAGAAACCTCCTACCTTTAAGGAAAAGATAAAAAATAAAGAAGTAGATAATTAGATTACCTAACTTAAAAACTAGATAGGTTTATAAGAGGACTTTGTCTTTTATAGACTATTATAGGATAACGAAAAGAACCGCCTTACTTTATCCTATCTAGAAGGGGACCTATTTAATTGCTAGCAAGAATACCTTATAGTTAATTCTTTTATAGCCTAATTATTAAAGATCTAGTACTGTTATATAGATCTTAATTAGATAGAAATTAAAAAGAGACGATTTAAGCATATAAGATAGACTAGTTTAGCTAGGACTTTTATAAGGGATTTGTAAACCCTTTTACATAAACTTATCTCTATCCTATCTCCTAAAACTTTTTTTAGAAGGTATAGGGATAGCCTTTAAGAAGATATAAGAGATGCTCTAGACATATAGCTTTATTTACCCTTAAATACCCTAAAGGATAATTATATTAATAGGGCTATTGCTCTTAATAAGGTTTATTTCTATTATAGGAGAAAGAACTAAAGTAAGAACCTAAATATAACTATCGAATCCCTTAATGCAATAGGCGAAAAGAAGAAAGGCAAAGGTAGTAATAAAGAAAAGGGTAGATAGGATAAGTCGAAAGTTACTTACTATTCCTATAATAAGCCTAGCTACTATACTAGAGAATGCCGTTTAAAAAACAAGTAGGTAAGGTTATAACTAAGGTAACTTTCTTACCTTCTAAGGCCTCTAACAAAGAAGAGAACTTAGTTATAAGTATAGATGTAAACGCAACCGCTAGATCTTTACTAGAAGAGGAGACTAAATACTTTGCTATCCTAGATAGCGGTCTTTTTACGCTACACGGAACTATTAGACCTTATAATAACATCCGTAAGATTATCTTTATACTTAATACTATAGCATCTAGTATTTATATATTAGCTTTAAAAGCTAGGACCTTTTAAAAGAGTTCTATTATTCCTATTATAACAAAGTTAATCGTTCTGCTAAATAGGTAAACTATTATAATAAAGGAAGGACTCGAGTTACCTTATACCTTAGAAGACTAGTTAGGAACTCTTAAAGTACGACTTATAGACTTTAAAGGATACGATGTTATCCTAGGACTATCCTAGTTTATAAGATATAACCCTATAATTAATTAGTAGGTTAGCATAGTATAACTATTACATAAAGATACTCTTGTAACTTACATTCTTAAATCTTACTCTAGGATCTTTATATTATAAGATATAAAAGTTAAGGATAAACAAGAACTACTATATACACTTACTAACCCTATAACAAATGGATAACTTAGTATAAGAAGAGCTTCCTTACTACTTATAGCACTATATGCTTTTTCTAGCCTAGAGCCGGATAGTAAACCTACTATTATAACGCTCCCTATCTTCGTTATAGTTCTATAATAATATCCATCTATATTTAGAGAGGAATTACTAACTAGACTGCCGAAGAAAAGAGATATTATCTATTTAATTAATACTAGAGACACGAAGCTAATAAACATATAGGCCTATTCGTTAAATCCGATATAGTTATAAGAATAGTAAAAGTAAATAGATATACTATTATAACGAGGTCTTATCTAAGAATCCTCTTTGCTATAGGGAAGTCCTATTTTCTTTATACTAAAACCTAGTAATAAGTAGAGAATGTATATCGATTTCCGTACTCTAAATAAGCTTATAAAAAAGAATAGATACCCTCTACCTCTTATATAAGATTACTTAGATGCACTTGCTAGAGTAGCTTAGTTTATAAAGCTTAATCTTGTTTCTAGCTTTTAGCAACTATTAATAGATCTAGACTCCGTTATAAAGACTATGTTTAATACTCGGTAGGAAAAGTATAAGTTTCTTATTATGCCTTTTAGCCTCTATAACGCTCCTATAACTTTCTAGATATTAATAAATAAAGTCCTATATCCCTTCTTAGGAAAATTAGTTATTATATATCTTAATAATATACTAATTTACTCTAAAACTAAGAAGGAACATATAAAGCACTTACACAATGTTTTTTAAGTATTATAAT